AACCCTGGCTAACACCCTTCCCGCTCCAAATACCCGGTAGACGATATGAAGCCAAGAATTAAAATATATGCAAATTTAACTTTTTTTTGAAGACTAGAATTTATTAGGTAATGCAATGCAACGCCAAATAGAATTCTACCCTGCATGACAAATTATTCAAGAACCCCTGCCTTACACTCATTATTGGTTATCTACTCTTTCCTGCTCATGCTCTGTAGTACACAGGCCTTAAATCTTTTTATATGCATCATTAGTTTGGTCTTTCTAGGTAACAGTCCTGACATAAGATAAACAGAAAATGATTGCTGTTTATCAAAATGTGCATAATTACAATGAGGGAGAAGCAAATGACCCCCCCCCCCCCACTCCGGGGTCGGAGGAACCGCATGCGTGTTCCCAAAATGTCCGGTAAAGGGGTACTTTTCATGCACCAAAGTCTGGCTCGTAGTACACAAAAATCTGGCCCGTATTAACTTTACACACCAGACTTAGGGGGGTGTTTTCAAAAGGAGGGAACATGCATACGTGTACCCTAAATAACACTGAGTGGGGGGGGGGGGGGGGGGGGCAAATGACCAAGATGTGTACATGATGAAAACAAGTGCATTTCTTGCACATGTAGTTCACAATTTTAACCCTTGAAAGATTTAAAAAAAAAAAGACATTAACAAATTATGTTTAAGGTACTATGTCCCATTTGCAGGCCAAAAAATGAAAAAGTTAAATTCCAACTGCATTTGAAAGATAATACTAATTTAGAACTTCCCTAAAAAAAGTGTGGGGCTTGAAAATGTCTTCGAGTGGGAAAATAACGACTACCGTATTCGGGGGGAAAAAAATGTTTACTTTTCCTAGATATTGACGAATGCATGGTGGATGCAACGCTCTGTGCAAATGGAATGTGTTCGAACACAGATGGCTCTTACACCTGTAGCCTGTGTGACTCTGGATATGCATTAAACGATGATAGCACTGCTTGCAATGGTAAGGACGTGAAGTCAAATTACATCTAGTAGTCTACTCAGTACTATAGTCTCACATTTTACTTTTTAGTGGCATCTTTAACAGTCTTTTGATCCAGAATGCTCTGAATTACAAGTTGTAGTTGTAGTTGTTGTAGTTTCCAGGGATGCGGCCTATACGGCGCTGCGGCCTTATCGCCGGCAAATACGGTATTAGTTGTCAAACCAACTTTAGGGCTATAGAGCCCAAAAGTAATAGTCTTGATTTTCAGACAATTGTACCGAATGGTCATATGTTTTATGCTGCGCAAAGATTCAATCAGTTTAATCTTGGCCATCACAAGAAGTGGGGCATTGATGTAGACAAATGCTCATGTACCCTTTACAACTCTTTTTATGTATGTTATTACCAAAGAAGAAAAAAGCCAGTCAGTCACTCAATAGTGTCTGACAGTGAAGTCTAGCAAGTAAACGGGTTTCCTTGCATAATTTGAACATGAGGACACTGCTAACGTTTAAATTTCACAGATAGGACATACATGACATATTCATATTTCCTGCAAAGTTCTACAGCATTTGAGGTTGGCTGCAAAAGGGACATAGTACCTTTAATACAATCACTAGAAATTAATGTCTGCACTGTGCATTATCATTTTAAAGGATGGACTTACACTACATATATGTATCTCCTAACTTGGTAAAAATCTAACCCTTAAAACCTCTCATGACCCTATGACATTTGTAGGATACATCCACCATGTCTAGACAACCCTTTTTGTGTTGCTTGCAGTTGAAACGCTGTTCAAACTAGCTACACTGTACCTTATCCATGGTGTATGAAGATTAAATGATGTTGTTCCTGCTTGCTGATGAGACCCTGTTCATACTTGCTACCTTATCAATGGTTTACGAAGATTGAATGAGGATGTTGCTGCTCGCAGATGAGACTCTGTTCATACTAGCTATCTTGTTCAGGGCAGTGGCGAATGCAGGATTTTTTCAAGGGGGGGGGGGGTTTAAGGATTTAAAAAAAAAAAATTAACAAAAACTTTAAAAAAAAGGGGGGGGGGGGTTTCCCCCAAAACATACACATCAAAAAAAAATATCAAGGGGTGGGGGGTTTAACCCCTGATTCAGGGTGTACATTGTATCAGTGAAGATTAAATCAGGATCTTGCTGCTTCAGATGAGACCTTGTTCATACTAGCTAAGTTATCCATGGTGTATGAAGATCGAATGAACATGTTGGTGCTACAGATAAGAATCTGTTCATACTAGCTATCCATGGTGTATGAAGATTGAATGAGGATGTTGTAGGCATCTCTCATGGGATATTCTTCATTTCATTATTGATCAATGCTAAAAATATACAACCTTCACAAAACAACTCGACCTCTCAGAAAGCCATTACTTGCTTTTCTTCATTTAAAATTGAAGAAAGGATATGTTGATTCCAATTTTGATGATTACAACAGTGGACCATCCAACCATACAGATTTTATAGTACCGTAGTGACGTAGTCATATGATTTGCAATACCGTAAATCTCCGTGTATAAGGCGCACTTTTTTTGCCGCCGAAAAAAATTGAAAGTTGGGGGTGCGCCTTATACACAAGTTTTTTTTAATTTTTTTAATTTTTTTAATTTTTTTTATATTTTTTTTTTAGTTTCGATTTATGGCGCTATGCCTGTTAATGTCTCCCAGCTCAGTAATCAGTGCATTGACTCGCCACTGGGAAACTACAACAACACTAAAATTTGTCTGTCATCTTGGTTTGAAATTAATCTTTCTAATAGATCTCAATATGTAGTTTATAATAATAATTCCTCAATTTTTTTTATATAACAAATGGTGTACCACAAGGTTCTTTCCCAGGACCTAGGTACTCTATTGTTTTTAATTTACATTAATGATCTTACACATTCTTCTAAAAACGACATTGTTACTACTATTTGTGACAAGTTTACAAACACAAATCAGCGCCTTTAACTTATCCTCGATGTTAAATGAAGGTCCTTCCCCGCGTGGGTTTTCGTTTTTTCCTACCCAAAATAGGGGTGCGCCTTATACACAGGTGCGTCTTATACACAGAGATTTACGGTACATAACATTTCAGTATTTTGTTGATCTGAAAAAATTGTCAAACTGGGATGAGTTTAAATATTTGATCATTCACACACATTTTGTTGTTGTTGTTTGTTTGAAGTATTTGTCCTAGACTATCATGCAATCTCTTGCCACTTGATGTAGAATTCCTACATACTACCCTCTGACATGTCATAAATAGCATCAGAGGAAACTAAAAGACAAACACATACAAGATAAAGCAGGGGCTACTGCAATCTTCACTATCTACATGTAAGAGTAAACACATTAAACCATTTGCCATGTTTTGTGAAGGTTGAGCCCGTGTTTATTCCTATTAAGTAGGGACACTGATTTTCTGTGATCACGGAAAACGGACAGAATTCACGGAAATGACCATTTGAAACGGAAAATGCAATTTCGAACAGAAAGTCGCGGAAAACCCTTTTCACCTAAACATTTTTTAAGAAGAAAATTGTAAAACTTACACTATTTGTGTCATTTGTTATGCAGTGAAAAAATATTGGGCCTAAAATCATGGTTAATAACTCTGAATATTTAATGATATTCGTCAGATTCTTAGGAGACAGGGGGCTGCCATTTTGTTTTGCTGGACACATGAGATCGTGACACAAAACACAGTACAAATAGCAGCGAATCGATCCTATTATGCCAGCTAGGCGCCTAGTATTATGTAGACGTAATACTAGGAACACACACGCCAGCAGCGGGCGCTAAGTGCGGCGAGATTGTACACATGCTGTTGTACAGTTCGAAAAAGGGGCTGGCATGTGCGCCTAAAATCGACCGATCGCTGACATGACAGCCAAGACTGAAATGTTTTCATCCACGTCGGTACTAGTCAGCCTGTATCTGTATCGTTCCGTCAGGAATATGTAGTGTTCTGACACATTCCGCTAACTTTAGTCTGCTTGTCTAAGTTCGAATTTGAAGTTGGTAAATCTAAACATTTGATAATTGTTCGTATATTTTCACTGGTATTTTGCATCAAGTTTATCCAGTCCCGTCCATATTGTTTTTGAGTGGTTATCATTGGCGAAACGGAATTCACGGAATTCCAGATTTTCTGAAATGGAAAAAGCCATTTTTTAAAACGGAAAATCAGTGTCCCTACTATTAGTGCTGACATTCTGGTCTAAAGCTACATGTAACTGATATAAAATGGGATGGATGAGTTCTAGCGCTAGATACGCCTACAGTATACAATGTAGATAACTATTAATCTTGATCATAAAACTGTACTCAAGTTATGATATTCAAACTCTAACTCAAAGGCATCATCCATTACCAAATGTATATTTGATGTCTAGAATTCATCAAAATTATTAAAATATGTAAAATATATTTATAAAAAAAAAAAAAAAAAAAAAAAAAATCATGAACAATGAAAGAGACTGTATACAGGTAGGGGTATGAAAATGTGGCATCAGAAATCTTAATCATTTCTTTTCACAAATATGAGAGCCTTTCAGGGAAAACCCTGTTGGAATTTTCCTATGATTTCTTTCCGCTTACCGGTAGTAATAAAGAGACCAATAAAGCTCACAAATACATTTTCACTTTTACCAGAACTCAACCTTCTTTTCAAACCTATAAATAGAGTAGAATAGTGATCAGGGTGGTGTTCCTGTTTGCAAAACCTTAGAAGCAGCACAGCTTTCACTCTCACTTTCAAATACCTGAAAGTGCTATTTATGGTAAGCTGAAGTAGCAAATCCTATATACAAAGAAACAGCCCCCCCCCCCACCAAAATTCTTTACTTTTTCTAATGCCATAGAATACCTTTAAATCATCAAATGATCATTATATTACAAAAGTTATCAAATTACCAAATATGTTAAAATCCCTTTTGTATTCTTGCATCTTATTAGCAATAACACCAATGTGTGAAAAGGTGGAAGGGGAATACTGTATATAAATAATATACCCACCTGTTGTAAAGAAGCAAGTTCTATGCTGTCTAACGATGAACTGATAGTAGGGTTGATAGCTGATACCAAGGCTGCTATCTCCATGTGTCTTGTGCACACTACAGGGAAACCATTCAGATACAACCAACTCTTCTCTGTGATTCCTGCAAATAATTCATAAAAACAATTAAAAAAAATTATTATAAAAAAAAAAAAAAAAAAAAAAAAAAAATCATTTTCGAAAATGAAAATCAATATATATCTCTGGGAAGAAAAAACATTCGTAAAAAGAGAGCTCCAGCAAGAAATAAATAAACTTTAAAAAATTGATGTAAAAAAGTAATACAAGATTTAAAAATTCCTAAACAAAAACGACATAAAAAATGCTTTTACATCTGCAAATCAATAAAGAGTCCATGCGAGCTAAGGAAGAAGAAGAAAAAAAAAAGAGGGGGGGGGGGGGGGGGGGGACCTTTTTCAGGTTTATACATGTAGTTTAAAATGATAACCTTAACCCTGTGCAATTCTTATTGTTGGGTGTCAAGTGTTTGATCAAAGTCATTATCATATTCTGATATTCAATGTTTGGACACTTGAATTTATTGCTGGTAGGATGATACCTGTAATTATGACATATTATCTGGATGGTATAAGGAATAGATAGACCCTGACAGTTAGACTTGACAATCAATAGTGTTCACCCCACACATCAGGATGCCAGGGAAAAAAAAAAATTAATTTAAGTTAAGGAAAGCTCCTTGAATTTTGCATAATTTGAGAATGAAAATAAATTGATGTGACTCCCACATACTCTCCGGTCAATTCTTAACAATGTTATCCCACCACATTTACATTGTATGTTTTCAAGTCGTGTGAATTTGTCCTTTTATCCTCTTAATGCATGTATTTGATATTTGTCTACTTTTTATACTTTTACTTTTGTATATACACTGTAGCTGCTTCTGTATTTTTAATGCAAATGTGGAAATAAATTCAATTCAATTCAGTGTGATAATTGGAGTATACTTCAAAGAAAGATGAGAAAGGAACATCTCTAGGGCTAGGTGCTGACATTTCCCCTACAGAATGAAAGTAATTTTTGTTGGTGTTCATATCAAGAAGGTAAATAATCCAGACAATCCATACAAGGGATGATGTGAAATATCAATGTGTAAGTAATTCCAGAGCAAGAAACAGAACACGCCATGCTGAATACAATGCTGTCTTCTGCATAAAAGATGATTTTATATGTGGGCGTAGCCTCTGGACTCCTCAAGCACCATTGAATTGAGCTGTGGGGGTGGAGTGCGGAGGAGGCAGGCACTCTCATCACAACCATACAAATAAGGTATACTGATAAGGATGAAAAGAGAGAGCAAAGCAATCATCCTATCTAGTTCTGTACAGGTTAAATGAACACTATACCGGTACATGTAGTAGCAGCCATTATAATCTAAATAAACAATGCATGCAAAATGACACATCCTTGCAAATTGATTGGAAATATAATAGGTAGTACATCCACAATTACTTGATCACATGTCTGTGATAATTGCAAACCACGTTACATGTAATTTGTTAATAGCTGATATAAGTGGACTGCCTATTAAACGAGCAAGACATACGCGTGGCTCCCATTCACAAGAAGGATTTAACGACTATGTTCTAATAAAAATACAATTTAATATATTGAAAGGCTCGAAATTAAGTTGAAATGCCTAGAAGGTAGCAATGGCATTAAACAAGGAAACAAAGTTCCTACAATTTTTTTAAAATAATTGTTTCAGAAATTTAGTGTTCATACTCAATAATATTGAATGTGGAATAAATAATAATCCTTGATATGACCAAAATACTAGAGACAAATTTTTAAGAAATCACAAATCATTACTATCAACTTTTAGAATGACTTTAAACATTCATTTTCAAAAGCTATACAGTTAACCTGTACCTTGCTAAATATTAAATGAACTAAGGATATAACCCCTGGTTGATTTCCGTTTAATGTTTAATGGCATATTACAATTCATGAGGAATCATTAAAAACAATTATTCTCAGTAATTAACAATTTTACATTATAATTATGTACTTCCTAACCATGTAATTGCTGGGCCAAGTGGGGTTAGCACTGTAAAACAGGCCTATGAGTCAACCTCATGAGCTGCATACAAATCACACACATTTCAGCTTGTTATGATTTGTGAGCTCTACCATTGCATGAGAGCACTAGTTTAATTGCCCTTGAACAATATAAATAGTGAATATTTCAATACCATGCTCTAGTGAAGCTACCAATTCTTCCGAATGATTTTCATGTATTTTCTTGTGTTTTGTATCGGTTTATTTGTTTATTTTGTAGTGTATTTGTTTGTTTGTATAGTTTTGTTTTTTAACCAAAGCTCTTTTAGTACTCTTCAGACCTGAGCTTAATTGTTTGCCACCATCATAAAAATAAAAATCTTTTATTCTTTTTTTTTTCCATTGAAAAAGTCAATAGTAAAATGGGGCCTCGATGGCCTTAGCCACGTATTACTGCTGCAAAAGTAAAAAATCAACAATCCCAAAACATAGAAATAAATTTAAGTCAGATTGACATTATTTACATTCGTTGGATAACTTGAAACAATATATTCTGTAACGAATTTGGGAGTTCAAAGATAAAAACTAAGGACTCTAAATGCATTTTACGCTACCCCACATATTTTATTTGTTTGTTATTTGTCATCAGTATTGAGTTGTTAATATATTTGATCAGGTTTAACAAAATGTTGCGTGAATGTACTGCAGTACAGTGTTACCCACCTTAATACACAGCCAGGATAGTAATGCTGCCATGTGTGCAAATACGTGTATTTTCATAATGGTTAAACAAAACCACCCGCATAAAGTTAACAGTAAAACATTTAGCAAAAAACGTTATGACTCAGGCCTCATTAAGATGATTGGGATTTATCAAATTTATCTGAAGTAAAAACTAAACCCTTTTGATTGTTTGGAAGGCTCTTACCAACAAAAAAATATCCTAAAGCTAGTAATACGGACACCAACACAGACCATGAAATAGATACTTCTTTAGTATTAGTCAACAGGAATATCTGACTGCTGATCTCTGTTTAGCTCAAATCTGATTTAAATGAACACCACCACCAGAAACTACAGAGAAATCAGAAGTCAACACCTAAACACCTACTGACTTTTTCTCATTTCACGTTCAAATCATGATTTCACAACAAAATAAACACCAACACTTAACACTGAAGTCAAACATGAAATCACTTAATCTAGGGCGGATAGAGAGTTGAGTGCTTTGGTGCTGACATCTTATCAAATCTTCTATCTTGTCTTACCCATACTGACAGGCTGCCCTCTCTTATCCTCATTCCCTTTTCCATGCCAGGTGACCTCAGCAGTGCCTTCTCCATTCTCTCCAAACACTACCCAGGCATGGTCTTCAGACAGGGCTAGGTGTACATCCTTGAAGTTCAGGATCTGACAGGCTGCAACCACAGCTAACGCAACACCAAAACAGTCCAGTTGGTTTCCTAGCAGGGGAAAGGAATTTAAAGAAAATGGGTAGATAAAACTCAAAAAGACAATTTTTTAGTGCGAGAGAAAGCAACAGATTGTCTTACAAGAAACTCTTTGCACAAGCTCCGTCCTTGATACAAAACAAATGACTACAATAACAGTGTCCATATTATGACTTGATATGAAATAATCTTACTAAATTCAACTTCATGTGCATAAGAGACCTTAATGCCTATCTGCACTAGTTTGGCCAGGAGGGATTAGACCTCCCTGTATGGTCACTGACAGGTGGTTATCTCATCAAATAAGCTCTCAATTAACATGAGAAAAAGGTTATCATGGGGGACCAATGGTCACCGATTAGGCATTGTTTGCTATAGAGGGTGCGAGTACCGTAGGTATAAATAGTGCAGTGGGACTTTAGGGCAGTTATAAGTAATAAGTAATAATTTGCACAAAATGATAACGGGAATGGATTTTTTTTTCATTCTGGTACAACTGTTTTTCTTTTCCCATAGACTCAATAGTTTTCAATACATTATTTAATAAAACCCTCCCCCCGCAACAAAACAAAACAATTTAAAGCATTTTCAGGACAGGAAAACATGTACATGTATAGACCCATCTTTTTTAATGTAAAAAATAAAACTTCCAATGTTGATTGTTGCACTTGTTAGATCGATGCAATGCATTAACAAAATTTTTGCTAATGTGTGGGTGAATACTATAAATTGTAATTGATGACCAATACTGCTAGATCTAGTCTAGATTTATTAACTCCATAATAAATCAGCATGACTGAAGTAAAAATAAAAAAACTAAAAATCTATTGAGACTACAGGTATGATAGAATTATCTTGATACCATTGCAGTCTGAAGCTAAATATTAAAGTTAATAAAATATGGAATCTTCTTATAATTCAGAAATCATAGAAAACCAGGAGTCCCAAGACCAAATCCAAAACCGATAAAAAATTCCTTAATAAATTGAATGATGGTACTAATGGTGGTGTTGATAAAGGCTTAGAACTAAAGTTAAAGCCGGCATGATTACTCAGGTACAGACTATAGTCAAGATTAACCCTTAAAGGGAAATCCAACCCAAATGGACAACTACTCTAAAAGAAAGCAGAAAAATTAGAGAGCCTGATGAAGTTTCAATTAAATATAAGAAAGTAATGAATTTTTGAAAATAGAAATCACTACACGTACTGGCACTTTAAATTGTGTAAAGCAGTAATGTCATGTGATGTAGTGCCGGACTACTTTCCCCATCTGGTCCAACATACAAAATGATTAAAATTTTCAAAAAAATCATGGCTCAGGAAGGTCATTTCTTTTAAAAGGACCTATAATAATATGCTATCTATAATATATTTTGAGTAGTGCCCCAAGAAAGAAGGAACTTACGAGAAAAACAAAAATTTGTTATATTTTTGTACACGACAAATGGGAGTTATCCATGTCCTACACGACGTCACAATCCACTGACCAAACTGCCAATTTGAGATTCGCATAGACTTAGTGGTCTCTTTACTTAAGCTAAGTGGTCCGATTCATTAAAAAAAATTGCCATTCCGTTTGATATTTTTCTTTCATAAAAATTAATTTATGAGTTACAAGGGTTGGATTGCCTAAATTCAGAAAACATCTCATTTTAACATCTTGAGACTTCATATATATCCCAGGACATAAGTGAAATTTGAAAAATTGATTGTGAATCTAACCAAAGACCCCAAAGAGATACCAGCTATCTCTTTGATCTAACTTAGATTTAGTCATGTTGAGCCAAAGTTGTTATGTTATGAACTTATGGTACGCATGTGGACTCTATCTCTGGCCCCGCCCACCTCGGTCAATCACGTGCAACTCATATTTTCTCCAAAATGAAAAACTACCTCATGATAATTTGTGTCTTTTCTTACCAGTCAGATAACTGAAAAGAGATTGCAAGTGAGCCTTGTCTTTGTAGTATGCTCGTGAGAGTGAACTCCAGATAATATCAGACACCTTTTTAACCATTTCTCTGGTTGCAAATTCTGACTTGTAGTCGCTCAAGTCGACAGACCCTTTCACTTGAGCCTCGAATTTGGCGCACAACGCCTCCACGTTCGGTAGCTCAATGACTGGAAAGATGGGTTCAATGCACATGCGGTTCTCATCAGCAGCTTGACCCTGGGACGAAGCACGATTGCTCGTTAAAATGTTCTCCACCATTCCTACAACAACCGAAAGAACCGTCAAATTGGGTTCATGATCTCCTTCCAATTCTGAGCGAAATATCTTTAAGATAGCCCTAACATTGTCGACGGGGAAGAGCTTCCTCGTTTCATCACGGATGCCCGCCATTGCGAAAAGTTGATTTTATCTGCCTTGCGCATGCGCACTTAGATCGCTCGATCGCGCTGGAAATTTCTGGCGTGTGTTATTATGACGACGTTGATATCTTGTGTTTACTTTCCCCGTTTATTGTGCAGGGTGCAGACCATACACATGGTCTCGAAAAAGTTATGAAAATACAAAATGGTACGTTCGAAGACAAAATATTACGAGATGAGTGTCCTATGACGATAATTCCTCCCCATCTGGAGGTTACAACGTATCCCCCTGTTTTTTTCACTCCGATGATGCAAGACCAAGTCTGCCAATAAAAATGGATGCATTCGCAGTATTGGCGCCACTTAGTGACGGTCAGTGGATCGAGGCGACACACAGCGTAGCGTGCATATTGCCTTATGGTAATGAATGTAATAAAAACACAGTTCAACTATCAAGCGCAGATTTGGTGGTAGACTGGTAGATATTGGGTTTCATGAATTCGCAAAAAAATACAGCGTTACAAAATTGTTTTCCTCCAAAATCCACCGAAAGGAAAATGAACACCACCATTCGCATGGCCTGGTAAAGTAAAAATGAGAACGGCTCGATGACACATCTTCAGTGCCACAAACCTGAAGGTACAGATACTGACTAATGCAGGATTTAGATTGTGACTCAGGCGTGAGAAAGTTATAAACCTGAGTCATTACAGCCCCGGTCAACCCTATGTTCAATCTTTAAAGGTCACATTTATTATTTTGTTGAGAAAAGGCAAATTGCAGCAAGCCTTAATTATCGTATTCGTCTTCTTTAGAAAAAAGCATGAGTGGGTGTAGGTCGTCTCTCGCTGTATTTCATATTGCGTGCATATTAGTCATAAGAACGAGGCATATAATACAGCAGGTAAACAGAGCCTAATTGTAATGAGTCACCAGAAATAGTCTGGTTTCTGATCGATGAATGTATTGACTTCATTTTCAAGCTGGATGATGATGAGCAGCCCCAATTAAACTTGGAATAAAAAATAATAGGCCTTGTTATTATTATAGTTTTAATTGTTTCCTTGCTGTAAATACTTATATAAATGTGGCACATACAAATATTTCTTTCTTCTTTATTAATTGATCATGTATGAAATAAATCAAAATTCATTTATAGTTCTCTTTATCCCACAAATGATTTTGAATTAGCTGCTTTTTTCAAGTAAATTCACTTCGAATAGATTTGTATTACCTGCACGCAAGCAGTTTTCCCCTTCCCAAAATACTGGACCCCCCCCCCTTAAAAAGAAAGAAAACAAAAAACATACCATTTGGATGAACAATTCACCCTTAAAGATGAAGATGAGTTCTGGTCATGCGATTGCATTGTGAAAGAAACGGTGTGGAACCGACCAGAAAAGGTTGATCATCTAGCATATAAGAATTTGTGTGTATTGCAAGGTTCTGGATTCATCAAAATGATAAGAAATTTGGCCAAGTCTTGGTAAAGTTACAAACACTTGCACAGAAAGATGTATATGGGACTACACGAACACGTGGCGTAAAAAGCCCCCCCCCCCCCCCCCCCCCCGATTTTTACGATGTTACATGCATATTTAGAATATGAAGGCATTTCAAGAGCCATGCTTTTCAGGGAACATGTCTTAACTGATGTTCTTCCACACTTGCATAATAAGAATGAGTAATGCTCACAAATTATGTTTCACCTCTTCCCAGAACTCAACCTTCTCTTTAAGGTTTTCATTAGAATTCATCTTAACAAAATGAAAGCATAAATATAATAGCATATGTACATTTTTTAGACAAAATGTGCACACACACCCACAAACACAAAAATGATAGTTTCCACTGTCAACCATTTTAGTTATTTAATTTTTGATATCTTAATATTCAGAATTTATAAGCAACTGACAGATGATTGTTTATCATCAAATACAGAGAATTTTGTATACAGGTAGTTGGAATGGTATAATCCTATTAATTTCCTGGTATAATAGTGTGGAATTTTCCATGAATAAAAATTGATGTCATCATAGTTTATTCCTGTACAATACAAATCTGGGATAAGTTCCAGAAATTTATTGAATATTGTTTATTCCATTCCCACCTGATACACAAATAATGTTTGTATATATTTCCCTTTTAGCACATTAAATTTGTTACCAGAATTTGCATTACTTTAATACTTTATGAATGGCTTTCATAGCTCACATTTTTCAAAAGGTAAAGAGATATATCTTGTTGACCATTGCATTTTTCCACTCGGTGAAACACATCTGCAAATAGATGCTCCGATGGATTATAACCCTGCCAGTTTCATCACATGACATTAGTATTTCCATTTCTATCTGAAAGTTATTTGGGGATGGAAAATTTCTGAAATAGCAATAAACAAATTGTTTTGATAAGCACTATCATCTTTATCAGTGTGTAATTTTATTAAAAAGTCTTTATAGTTATGATTTTTTATTATGCAAAAATAGTTTGGTTGTTAGTTTAGTTGTCTCCACCCAGATCTCATTTTATGACAATTAAGTTGTTCTCTTTTACTAGCCAATACAAATCACAAAGATGGAACAAAAAGTGAGCCATATTTAGACCAATTCAACAGAACATGGAAAATAACATTTAAAGAACATACTCAAGGACACAATGATTAGCATTTACATTCATTTCTTTATTTGCACATTGAACTTAGTTTTTTCCATACATTTTGTGTCATCAATGTATCTTGCAAGCATCACACGTTTATTACACACATATCAACTATGATGAGATCCTTCATTTACTTTATACAAGTACTCTTAGAACTTCTGAAAGGAAATATCTGTCAATATGTTCAAAGATATGCCTGCTGTACATAATTATTAGTTACACTCTGTTACTGCACAGTCACATTCTATAGGTTTACAAAGGAATGCTGTCTGTGTTTTGGTTAACCAGTTAGAAAATGTTAAAAGATAAATTCTAAAGTTGTAGCAGAGTTATTGACAATACCAGGAGTTCACAAAGACACAGATCTACTGCTAACAAGCCTAACTCTAAACTACATGAAATTATTTTGAATTCTAGTCATGGCATTGTCCTTTGATTATAGACCATCTCATGCTTAACAGATGAAGGAGATAGAGTTTCACCCTTCTACTGCCAACACTGGTTAAATTTTGCTGTTTAATTTGTTTTTCACAGCAACTGACTATCAACACTACTTTAATAATTTCCTCTTGAAAGTACAATTTTTATTAAATTCACCCCATAAAATAGTTGAATTTAATAAAATAGCAGTTGAAAGTGTTTACAATTTTATCTGAATGTTTCAAACTCGGCAAATAGAAATGTGCATGTCTCATACCGCATGAATAGCAAATTAATTATCAGAAATCCTCAATAAATAGAATGTTCCATTTAAGATTAATCTGTGATTACATCACAATGATGAATTTCACAAATGACATTTCATTGTTATTCTACATAAACCCCCAAAAGTGAAGTGTGAACCAATATCATTATAACTTCTTATTTAAAAAAAATAATATTCCTAATATGTATGTGATATAATTAATTGATGAGCTTTTGTCTTAGTGATAACAGATGAATTAATCTTTACAAATGGCACAGACATAGCTACATATATAATGTATGTACAAATTTTGTTTACTAATGACTAAATAAGTAAGCTTTTTATTCCAGGCAAGTTGGAACTTCACTCTACATCGAAAGCATATTTATTCAAAGTGTCACATCTATCTTGATAGTTCTTTCTTTACATTACCTTATAAATAGGTTCTCTGCACACGATAAAGATTTTCAAGGCACAAAAATAAGAGTATAACACTAGAGCAACACAATATCTTGAAGCCTTACAAAATACAAATGGGCAGTCAATGATGTAAATGATGTCACGTGTCACAGAGTATTGGTAAGATATCCTCTCCGACCCAGGTCACACGATGGTCATTATTTTTTTAACGGAGCACAACCACCTGGTATATTCATTTTCTTAAAATTACATTTGCTTCACTTCAGTATAATAGCAATTTAGAACATTTCAGAATTGTTGGATTGCCTCCATGAAATGATATGATTTGTAAGAAACCCAAGAATATCCACCGGACAAATGGAGGAATGCCAGCTCACATTCGTTCTTTATTAAATTTCTTTGACGAGGAGAGGAAGCTGTAATAAACAATATGTCAGATTGTTGGGGTTTGTTGAAAAAAGTAATAGCCAAAGTGTAACCAGGCCTTAACCGAGGCTCATCACCAAAAGTGACAATTGAGAAAATGTTACTAAACATCCAAAATAATGCCTTTCCATCAGCAAAAACAGTTTTAAAAACATACTTTATGCCCAATATTTCCACATATGTGAGGTAACACAGTCACATAATTTTGTATGTGATAACTGAAGTCGTTCAGTATGAAATTTGAAGTAAAGTCGATTCAGTTTCTACAGAGAATACACACACACAGTATCAAAGCTACATGCATTAACACTAATATTCATCAGAACATGCTGTATAAAATGGTAAACTGCAGTTTAAAACAGATCGGTTTTCTCTAATCATTTAGTGATAATCATATTATTTAAAACAGATTATTCTATAGAAAGTTGAATGATTATAAGTACAAAGAGCATGATATCTATGAAGCCTGCAACCAACTACAATATGGTCTTTAAGCTCCTCATAAATATTGTTTCTGAGAAAACTTTGTGAGCGCAATTTTCAGATATATATTTTTCTCAATTCAAAAGGTTTACATTTTCTCAGTAATTTGTTAGTTGGCAGCATTTACAACCAAAATGAAAATTAATCAAGAAACAATAATACTGGATAGATGGGGCTGGATTGAATCAAAGAACTTGTAAATATTTATATCAAAGATCTACGGTGCAGCAAAGCTCTATGTCTCCATGTCTCACAATCAATACTATTTATGGACAAAATTTAGAAATCCAATTACCCAGCTTTCATTTTAACAGAATTAGATATACTTATTTACTACAAGTGCAAGCGAAGATATGAGTGACAGAAGAAATCTTGATGAGAATAAATCTTGATGTGAATTTGTTTATGTAAATGACATTCAATTCAAAAGTTACTAATACACTAATGATTTCAGCTATACTACAGAAATTCAATTCACACAAGACAATTGGTACACAATGTGTTGGCCTCAAACAGGATAATGGTTTTGAGCATAAGAAGTAACGTACATGCTTACATCATATAAATTGTGTATTTCACTACATTGTGCAAATTACACTGCATCTGCATTTCCTTTTGAATTATGTTTCCTTCATTAGATTATTAATGACAGAGCTCTGGTTCTAAATCAAACATAAACGAGAAGAGTTTTCCATGCCATTAAATGACAAATGTTACAGAAGGTGAAGTGTAAAATCTCTCGGAAGGAGTTTGTGTGATAAATTCACAATATTTTGCACCTTTTTAACACTTTTTTTGTGCTTAAGTGGTAGATTATGTTCAAAACCCAGAGTACAAATTATGTCCACACAAAACACAGCACAAAGGAATGCACGTAACATCATAAGCAGTGGTGACACACAAATCATTACCACATATAAACATATATGTAATTGATTTCTATCAAAGCATTATGAGCATTTTTTTCAAGAAATTATGTTGGTATGACAGATTCACAGTTGAATACATATCACTTGTTTTGTAACTTATTTAGATTTCTGATAAATTGTGCATTGTAATAGCTCAAAGAGAACATCCATAAAAAAATTGTTATTTGATACTCCCAAGTATGATTTTGATATTATATCTGGCCCCTCTCTATATAAATCTATGCAATATCAGTTTAAAAAGACCAGTTTACATTTCAAAATTACACTTCTTTAAAAAATTAAATGCTACCCAAAAGGTTATAACCTTTTTTCTCAAAAGGTGTACGCCCATCCCTTAAAACAATTCAAGACAAAGGTTATTGTCACAAAAGCCACAGACAGCACACTGGTACTCTTTTAGAGATTGCTTTAACTAGTAACACATAAATCAGCTGATTTCTCATCAGTCATTTTCATTTGATACATTCTGTACACTTCAAATCACTGGTTGAGAAAGATAGTATAAATCTTATAGCTTAACTTGTGAGGCTTTCTCTATCTTAACTAAAATCACACCTAATCTTGTACATCTATGTCTACTTTTGAAGCAAGCCTTCTCGACAAGCTACAAGAAATCATTCCAGTTATTAAACTCTCATCTTGTAAAGTATCTATCAATTACAATATACAATAAATCAGATAAATCCAAATTTGTCTAATTTTCTTGTCTTATTTCTTCAAATTTGTACATGTTCTATATATAGCTACATTCAATTAAATAATGGTCACTTTCTACATATGTGCCACTTTGGTATGGGTTGCCAAGGAGACATAACAACATTCAGTCAGTACGTGCACTAGTCATTGCACTTCATGCCAGGGGGTGGCATGCGCCCTCATACTTCTTCACAAGAAAGCAAGTACTATTTTGTTTTTCTTTTGCAAGTGAGAAAGTTATATTCATTTTGCAATGATGTGAGACAGAAAGTCAGTTAACAATAAATGCATTGCTTATTTAATTCAAACTCTTTTATTTATAAATGTGCTTTGAAAGTGACAACTGTGATCAAAATCAATCAAAAAATGCAGAAACAAATCTCTCAAGTATTGACCTGATGAAATGACAGACACTGCATTCACTGAACAGCAATGAAATCAAATGAGATTATAATTTACATATTTTTATCAAATGGTTCATATGAATTCAAGTGCTATTCCAAACTGTAATTCTCATTTGCAAAAGAAACACAAAACCTTTGAAGCCTCCATTCTCTTAGTACATCATGGATATGTGAGCTATCTACATCTGGTTTTACTAAAGTCAATAACTGATCTTATTGTGGATTTCTAAAAGTAAGACAATTGAGATGCAATGTGTAATTGTCCTCATTTTGCCATCTTCTTTAAAAGCTAATCTATATGATTTTGACAAATTCTGTGGTAAGTTCTGCATGCCAAGATGAAACAAGTGTTCATCGCATTGTTTATCAGCTCCTCTTGCAGACTGGAAATCCAAATCCAGGGTATTATGGCACTTCTGTTTCTACGAACCGATTTTTAGGGACAAAACTGAAGCAGCACAAATCATTCAACTGTGCCATTGAAAAAAAAGAGCTATGCTGGACTAATTCTGCTGCCTTCTTATCAGGCAGGGATCATCTCAACTCGCTAAAAGTTTGTGCAATGGATGGAGGTACTGATGAAGGGATCGTCTCAGAAGTTTCCAGATTGCCGACGTGAAGAAAGGTTGTCGTGGCTTCCGACGCGACCACGCTGACTGAGTTGAATGGGGGCCGGGGTTGACTGCAACAACAAAACCAAGAAGAAAAAAAATAAATCAAAAATTGAGATATTTATGTAAAAAAGATTTCATGTTATTATTCACATTTTCTTAAAAACTGTTTTCACATCTCTTGTGTTGGAACTGCCACTCCTTCCTCTGTTCACAAAATATTTTGATGTACCTTTCTAATAACTCTCTATACATTTTGAAGAAGAAAGTCTGATATCACTTCATGATGTGTTATCATTTATGACTCCTGGAAATCCTTTATATATATTTTTATTTCATCAAGCTTGTGCTTTACTATGTAATTCGCAAAATCTTCCTAAAACTGTGAACTTTCATCATTCTTGATACAAGACCTGATACCATTACTCACCTCATCGTTCCCCCTGCTGGGTAGCACTGACATAGAACTAGCTCTTTTCATGCTGAGGAGAGAAAAAACAGGAAACAATTAAACACTATTTGAGAAATAAAGTACAAGATAAATTCAATCAAATGAGAAAAGGCAAATAATTTTCACTTTATAAGTTCACTTATTACCCATGTTTTTTGACAGGATATTATTATTGATATTGTAAAGTAAACCTTTTTCTTTATAATAGTTTATTTGATAATTATATAGAAGTTCAACCAATATCACTGAAATAAGTAGAGAGTATTGTGCAAATATTCCTTGTAGCGAAGTTTAGAAGAAAAAAATCCTTTCCAGTTTCTACACTTCTGTCGTTTCTCCAAAAGGGTATTCCGGCCCCATACAAAAATATCATCATACAGAATATCTTAAAGAGGATGATAGTAAATTCTGAAGGAATAAATAATTGCATGCCCTTTAAAAATATACCTTATTGAATCATAATCTTGCAAATACATTTTTGTCAGAACGCCTACTTAAAATTTTGTTCAAACTTGACAATACAAGTGATTGCTAACCAGCTTAAAAATAATAAATCTGAAAGTCATTTCTGATAATGTCAACTTTGTATGTTAACTCATTTAGGATATATTGTAAGAGGGACTGTTATGAATTTAGACAAAATCAAACATACGTGGAAGGTTTAATATGAAGGGGAAACAAATTAATGAATACTAACAGGTATATGTGTCATAAAATATAATATGTTGATATGATGGCATTGATGATATATCTGAGGTTGATATGATTAAAGGTGATTGAGATGTCTGTTAATGACCAACATTTGATTAAAAATCTATTCATACCAAGATGCACTGACAATGGCTTGTCTTAAGTTTAATCATGTGTGAGTGTGAAGAATATATATGATACAGTATAATTGGTATTCCTCTTTTGTGAATATGTTTTATGAAAATACTGGATATCATCTCTTAAACTTGGGCTGAAGTGTATGAAAATTCATGCTGCACCATATGTGTTATGACCAACCGGTCAACACAAATACATGTAGTAGGTGAAAAGGGAAAGAAAACAATTGATCTATGCTCATAGTATGGATTTATGAGGATATACTTTCATATTGTATGTCCTGTGTGTGTACTGAAGAGGACGATTTATGATTAAAAACGTTTGGAGAGATGAACGGTAAATATCACATGTTGAGAACTAGACTGACACTTTGAAAGAATAAGAATTAATTCCTTCTAGCTCGCAACGAAACAAAGTCAAGCACCATGTAGCATTGCTGGTATTTCCCTCAAGGATTTGCATAAAATTGCAGAGCCCCTTCTCTACAAGTACTCAATAATATCTAGGGAATATACTGCACAATATTCTGACGGTTTGGAAAGGATTATGAAAAATCTGGTAAACAATATGTTCAACAAACTGACATAGAAATATCATCACCATACATTAATATACATTAATATATAGTTTTGAAAAAATGTGAGAGAGATACTCTGGAGAAGAATGACTGAATCACAAAACTAGATATAAATCCTACAAGGTAACAAATGCAATTCAGTACATAAAAATAATAGAAATAACTGGATTCATGAAGAAGAAAAAAAATGATAAACTTGACATATCATTACATTGTACATGTATTACCTTATTTTCAAATCATATATGAAATACATGATTTGAAAATAAGGTAATATAAGGCATGGTCAAGAATATAAATTGTCAATAAGTAACATATCTCATGATAAATTAAAATAAGCTGTCAAGTCAAAAAATCATAGAGGTGCATGCTATATCATATATGCATCCATAATAAGCCATACAGGGGCAGATATCTTAGTTTTTGTCAATGACTAATTGGTATTACTCTTTCCAATATAAAAAAAAAAATCAAAAAATCTGATTCACTGGCATATATTCATAACCACGGATGGCTCCCCATATCATTAATCAGAGATTTTGAAAACTACAGTAAAAACAATAATCAAAATCACTGTTCAGGTTTTTGGTTTAATATGCTACAATCCCATATCCATTTATAATTATCTTCCCCTTTTACCCCCCCCCCCCCCCCCCGCCCCCTCCGCCGCCCCCTCCGCTCTAAAAAAGAATGGAAACAAAAGTCAATATGACAAAGGACTACACTTCATTCAGACTACACTCTAAATTAAGCGCTCACACTGCTGCATTTTTTTTCCTTTTCTAAATTCAGCTTACTTGTCCTATTTGAGGGTTAACATGCAAATCTGCTGTCAACCAATTTAGACTGCAGTGAGATTATTCATAATGTTTGCATCTGCACTCACAAAGGTGCCACAAGACACGTCAAGGGTACACAGCTTGTTTGGCATTGTTAACACACCAATAATTTGGCACTACAGAATGGAAAGGGAAGGATGGAGTATATATTGGTTCCATTAGCAAAGAGTACAATTGATCAGCTTTTTTTATGGTTACCACAGTGCTTCATTAATGTCTATCCTATGATATAAGGGTATGATGACAAGACAAGTTGACACAAAAAAAATACTACACATATATCCACTATTATCAAAGGGACCATTTCACATACAACAAAATATCATTATCAAAGAAAAGCACAAAATGCATCATTCATTACAAAAGAAGAAATATATGATAGACTAATCAACAAGTTCACAAAATCATCAGGGTAATTCTTGACGTCCATGCAGGAACAAGACAAAAGGTTGGGGTTCATGCACTGTGAAGGAGGAGAGAGTTGCACGGAGGGAGGGAGGGAGGTAGGTGAGTGTCTTACGTACATATACCTCTACAGGGACGGAGAGACTTCTACACACCTCTATTCCATTACTTCTACGGAAACTGGCCAACCAACGTGAGGGACAAAGATAAGGACAAAGATAAGACAAAGATATCAAGAAGATCAGGAGTGTCAATAGTTGGTGAGGATCATGGCAAACAACATTCACATCATATCATTTTTTTTTTCAATATCCAGGATGACATCTTTTTAGAATCTTTTCTTTTGATATAATAGTTCTCCATGTTATAGCAAGCTTGCATTTACAGTGCACATTCCCAGCTGAATATCATCACACATGCAAATTTTCAGACTTGGTATCAACATAATTTGGTGTATCCAAAAGACATATCTCTGATGTTTGATCTTTAGTTTTCAAGGCTCAACACATTAACAAAATATCCAACATTCTAGGTCATTGCCATGATGCAAGCAATACAAGCAAGGGCTTTCTGATTCCAGTGAATCAATAAGAAATTTTCAGAAAAAAGAGTGAGAAAACCCCTTGAGAAGAGCCAACTGGATTGTGTTTTTCCACAATTTTTGTTTACTTCCTACGAATTATACAATTTATATTTGATATTTTTAAACATAAATTTAGCACAAAATTTATCAGTCAATGAATTATCCTGCATGTTTAAAAACTGCTTACATTGGCAAAACTTGAACAAAATCCATTTTGATAACTTTCTAAAATGTTCATAAAATATGTCAAAAGTTTGGAAAATCATCAAAAGTGTTGGGTTCATCCTCAGTATTGGTGCATTTATCAATATCAAATATCAGGTTGATTTAAGAGAGACATTTCCCCCACATTGATATCAATTGTTTAAAAATCATCATTTTCCAAACAATTTGTAACAAATTCCTTTTTTTCATATGCAATTTCAAAGAAAAGGATAAATTATGTCAAATGAAATACAGCAAGATAGCTTAAATCATCAAAATTTTGACAACCTACCTGATTTGCAATTTAACACCAATAAGATGTTGTAAAGGAGACTTTAAAACCAATTTTCTAAAAAGAAATTGGTCAATCATTTTGACGAAAATAAAAGGTTCATTCAAATATAATTTTCTAATGATGTCATTAATTCATCGGGTCCTGAATTTGGTAATTTTTTTTAGAAAATACATGTAAGTAAACATAATTACAATTTTTGAGCTTCTATGGTTGAAATTTATTTCAAAAATTTATTTCAAAAAGTCCAGTCTGGCCCTCTCAATACACTTTCTGCATGCAAAATTGAAGAGATTGGCATAGAAACCAGGAGTGCAAAACAACAACATGCAAGGAAGCAACAAAATAGACGATGCTATTGTAAAGTAAAATATACGTTTTGGGCAATGGAAAGATAGCAACATCATATTGCATGCAACATTGCCACCAACCACATGTTGTAGTCATCAGGATAGGGTCACATGGACTAACTCCAACAAGAGTCCTGTAAAACAACGGCTACAGGTGCAACACGGTGGTCAGAAGAAATGATTAACTTTAGAAGATGTGTTGAAAATTACAGTAATAATATCTATCGTGTGCTTAGGGCCAGAGGGATATTAATTCATATGCTTTTACACAGAGTTAATGCCCTTCTGGCTCTCAAGGATGATACAAAGAGGTGACAGACCACAATACACACACTGACGTACAAACATGACATGAACAAATGATAAGAGAGTGCTCAGAGGGAAGAAATTTGAGTCTCTTGCTACTAAACACAACTTAAGAACCCCCACGCCCACAGAGGTGATTTGTTTCCATTGATATGAAAAGGTTAACGTCACTAGGAAAACTAAAAAGCAAAGAGAGCACTTGGAACCAAATTGAAGCAACATAGTAAAGACATAGTAAGCACTGTGGAACCATTAATGATGTAACAGAATAAGATACAGAGATGCTGATCAAAGAACAATTGTAAGAACCAATAATAGTCATCACACTGGAGTTAAATACAACTGCAATCACAAGATAATACAAAAATGTCTCTACATATTTTTTTATATTTGTTGACACAGACTTGCACAGCAACTTTATACTTTCAATTGATAAGTTTTTAAATTTGTAATTCATGATTTTGTGTAATTTTTTTTTATCCTCTTTGACCTGACCAATCGGATGATGTTATTTTATAGAACCAATGGCACCTTATAGTATATACTGTTGTGTATATACTACCTGATCAACCACCTTGATTTCAATGAAAGCAGAACAAATCAGACCAATAATATTTAAGTTTTGACGAAAATGCAATGAAGTATGAGGAAGCCATCTTTTCTTTAAAATGTTAAAAAGAACTGCATCAATTAGTAACTCCATGATTTCCTTTGTGAGCTACTATCCACTAGTTTATTTCTTTTAATTCCATGAATTCCTCAAAAGAACAAATGGTAAGTTTTTCCAAATGGAGAGCATTTGCGAGTAGTCAATTGGTGTACAGAGTTTCAAAGCTTCGAAAATCCACAAAATCTTAATTTTTTGATTGGATCATTTTCAACCTTCCTCTGACCCATACCCACTCCTCTATTTTTCTTTTCTTTTTTCAAAAATTTATTGATTGAATTTGATGTTAATGAGGACTTCTCTTGACGAAAATGTGAATCTGTTGCTGTTTTTAAATTCTTTTATGTCTTGATATTCACTTGCAATAATTATACAATAATGTAACAATATCACTATTAAAGGTTACATTGTCTAGTTATGCTTCAAGGAAATGAATTACTGATACACAGGTATATGTAAATATGAAATATTTCAAACATAGAATTAATATTCTTGTGTATATGCTGTGTACAACAATATCCACAAACACAATCATTACAAGTTCACAAAGCTCATAAATGAACAATAAAAAACAACAGCTATAATCATAAGAAAATCATAGCAAATAAATAATGCCACATTTCTTGACACATAGCTAAATAAGATAATGAAAGCGCAATGGGGGGAGCTAGAGTGGTATTTTGGGAAACAATGATGTACTATGCATACATTTCATTAATGATGCTTTAAAAATAATAGACTTGAGAGAGCCATATACTTTAACTAAAGAGATTACGTGTTTGGGCAATGGCTACATATACCATCATGACAATACACACTGGTCCAAACAGTAAACACAATTTCAGCTACTACACTTTCACTTGTAGTTCCTCTAACTTTCCCACAAACCTAGATTCTTTAATAAATGATCAAAAGCTGAACTAAGGTTTTGAGGCTAAACAAATAGTCTACAGCAATATTTTCAAAAAAGTTAGACTCGAATGTCTATTGGTTACTTGTTCAGTTTTGTATTCAGAAATTACTGTACACTTGCATGTATATGTTGTTCATCATTATTTTGTTTTTGTATCCCAAGCCCAAATAATTTAAACTTAGTTTATATTCAGGCTAACCATAAATAGGTATGACTGTAAACTCCACGTTTCATAAAAATCACTACTTTTTATATTTTTTCTGCACAACAACAGTGATAACAATGACTGTTTTGATAGCAGAATACATGCAATGCCTGCTCTAACTGAAAGGCAAACAGACCGGCCACTGAATACTAGGTCAGAGTTCTAATCTTTCAAGATGGCTACATTTCCTTCATATAATCAGATACTCTATTTATAGGCAATGCATGCCGTACTCAGTGGAAGAGGGCTTTATATCGATCATAGAAAGTAACAAAGACTCTATGCATCCCCACAGGCGAACAAGGCACTTTACGTCAAGACCAGCTGATAAAGCCAAACTCACCCAGTTTTCACCATATCCATTAAACCATCAAAAATGTCAGACCTTCAAGGTTTTAATTGTAAAAGTAAGAGAGGAACGTATAGGGAAAACGTCATAATGTAGGTATTCAGAGGAATTTCCATACATTCTATTAATGTTATAAGCATGTTAGAAAAAAGTTGAGGCAATTAGTTTGTCTGCTAAATACAGCAATGATCTAAGCTTACTCCACCTAGAGGTGTGTTACCTGCCACAAGATATAACTCTGAAATAATACACTAAGTTCACTCTTAATAAATGAACAAGCTTCTTCTAGTTTTTAGTTAGTGCTTTATGGTTACACTGATGCTGTCCTAGAACTCTCCCAAAAGCCATTTAAATCTTTTTGTCCATAAACATAATTACCCTAACTACAGAGACAGGGGAGCTATATAACTTCTTTGAAGGACAAACACAATTTATTAAGCTAGCCACTTTAAAGGTTTACCCTCTGTAAAATGGAATACTCTGGCAGGATCTTACTTCTAATTCACCAAGTCTCTAGCAAAGCAAAAGGATGGTAAAATTCTGCCAAGAGTATGACAAATAGGCAGATATTCTTGAGAAAAAAAATTGAAGTGGAAAACAAGTAGAAGTCCCTAGATCTCAGGCAATCGTAATGTGTTATTGTAAAATGATGAGTGTTCCAGTTATGCTATAAAAAGCCTCATTTTAATCCCATCCAATAACAAAAAAGCATGAATCTCTACTTTCGCTTCATAACTAGATCTCTAAACATAGATTAACAATAACAAGTGCGTACTGAGAAGGTTAATCATCCTTCAAGAATAATCTCTGTCTTAATTCAGTCTCAAAAACTCTACAAAAAAATGACTGAAAAAACAAACGCCCCTCTACCCCCATCTATGGCCAACTAGGATATATATTTGAGAGTAGATACACACCCTCCATCATCGTCGGACTCTCTTCCTTTGAGCTTGTTGAGAAGTTTAGTACTGCTACGCCGCACCGATGCCCTGAGTTTGGACAGCGAACCGCTTCTCCTTAACTTGCCATCACCATTCTGACATGATAAGAAGGACATAACATAGGTTTGGGTTCAACATGCAGGCATGCTTAAGGGCCACTTTAATTGCTCTCTATCTCGCTCTCTATCTTCTACTACATAGTGGCAGCTCTAACATGGTCACAAGTCACAATAATATTAAGAGAAGCTGCAAAACATGAATGAAAAACAACAAAATTACATAGATTTCTGATGTTACTTTTGTGTTAAAACATTAAGGATAGATCACATAAAGTCATGAATTTGTGATATTGGAATACCCATGTATATTTTGGGCTCACAATAATTCGATGACAGGGATAGAAAGCATCTCCATATGAAAGATTGGTGAGTTTTATTTCATCTTTAATACAGATCATCAACCTAAAACTATTGTGACTTTGACCATGCCCATTTCTAAGCTGCCAATCATTGTGTTTAGATGATATTTAAGATGTAAACTTCTATACTAGAGAGAGGGAGAGAGAGCATTGAACCAGATTGATGAACACTTGCTGCTTGGGGAAAATGAGGGATTAAATTATAATGAGACTAAGAAATTACATCTGTCAGGATTAAAGAAGAAACAAAATAATAAGTTTGAAAAATCATTCATGAAAACATGAACATTAAATGAAAAACACAAAACATAAATGAGAACAAAATAAAAGGGATCAATTTAATATTAAACCGGTTAAAGGGAATGTGTGTGGGGATAGAATATTAACGGGGCAGGGATGTTCTAGTGTAACTGAGTCTAGAAGGGGCGCGGGGTGGGGGTTAAGTGCACCAGTGTGGGTAATCAAAGGTGTATGTTCCAAGGTGACATCATTTGCAAAGAGGTGTAAAGACGGATATCTTCGTTCTAGCTAGGCTGTATTGTCAAATATCAAACATTCATTCAGACAATCTTATCATTTATGAAAGTTTCATAAAATCGTGGGTTGAGAAGGGGGAAAATGAATGCTGCCCTATTCTCTTTCGCCATTTGCATTCACTTTTGCTTTCAATATAAAATAATTTAATGGCACATAGTTTACTTTAGGTTGAAAATATAAATTTAGAAGTGGTCATTGATTTGTTATATAGCCTTACTAAAATGCTCATTAAATTCTGTTGACATTACTTGGGTGTGGCAGTGCAGTGCATATTGCAGTGACAACGGTACTCTTTCTATTTTCAGTGAACATGCATCAATGTTAAACTATTAAACACACATGTTTATGACCACAGTTTCCAGATGGGCCTCCAACACTTTTACAAATCTAATACAAAAAATAAGTACACTACATTGCATGCATATTATTGACTAAATCAAAATGAAATTATTTATGCTTGAAGAATGTATAAGATACAGAAAAAAACTTAATACATAACAAATGAAACAAGTGAAAAGGGTTGGGTACAGCACAAAACTATTTCATTGTCAGAAATGGCTGAAGGAAAGTTAAAGAAAATTTTACCAAAGACTTCACAAAGGATTTGAGCTTGATTGTGATGGAGTCATATCAACATAATATATGGTAATCTTTTTCTGAAGCTAAATTAGAATATTCTAGCAAACTAAATAGACCTGGAAATTAGTCCCTTGGAAGTGACATTTTCATGCAAATAATTCATGTATATGAACATCAGAAACTATCCCCTTTATCATTCAAAGGAATTTATTTGCTTGTTGCTAAAAACTAACAGTATCCTGGAGTAAATTAAAATCAGTGAATTTCAGTATGCAAGCTCACAATATTGCTATTAACATTTCTACAATAAATAAATTAAATACTATTTAGGATTACCATATCTTTACTTTAATTTCTATGATTCTAAGACAAACAAAAAACGAAAAATCATGTTTGCTTTTTTTGTGGGTTTCAATGCATATAATATGCTCAGAGTCAAAATTCATAAGGGGGAAAACTTACAAAAAAGAGGTATATTTTCAGAATACTATTTCATAGATTCAAATGGATATTACTTCAGACTACAGGGTGCTTGTTAAATATATTACTCTCAAATTACTATTACCGTATTTAAAAGCACAATCCACCGACTAACCAAATTACCTTAGTAACTGATTTTTACATTAAATCTATCATTTTAATACTAACACATACTTATAAATTCATTCATATCACAAATAACATTAGAGATTGTACATATATTACTTCAAATGAAAGTGAACTATGGTTCATTACAAAGTGGTATGATTATGGACATTGGTTATTAATATTTTTTTCTTTTCCAATTTAATTTTCAACAACAACAGAGAATGATACATTCTACAATGATCACTACACAAATGTCTGCAGCTGATTTGAGGGCTTTTTTAATGTACATGTATTCTATGTCTTTGTGTTTACACAGCAATTGTTTCTTAGGGACGTGAAGCTTTGCATGTTTTTGTTTTACTTCTTTTATTATCAATATATTCAATACAGCATTTAAGCATGAACAGTTTTAATTTTAATATTACAATTTTTAAAGGTAGAACAAAAAAAATCTGGTTTACCACCATTCACGTGATAGATAGTTATATTCAATGTTAACATCCTCAGCTTATAAGTATAACAATCCTCAATGCTTTTTTAATGTTTTTATTAAAATCTCAGCTTTTTGGTGAAATGGCCAGAGAAATGACTTAAAAAAAAAAAATTCTTCACAACTTTGAAGAACAAGACAGACACACACAGCATTTTTAGCAAATTGAAGAAGCTATGAGGCATAAAAACCTGCCACAATTATATTTTCAAAATACTTCACCGGTGTTTGTTTCTTTATGATCTTAGAAGCTTAGTACACATAGCTATTGAAAATTAAATTTGTAACTTGTGTTTTAAAATGTAAAACATTACATTTAAATGGTATCTTATAACTTCAAATAATGCACAACCTATGATGATTTTTCATACTCCAGATGTGAAAATGTTCCAGCTCAAACACACCATTATCTCTCAATTTCTTTGATCTCTTTACAAGCATATCATGTATATCAGTCCATAAGCAATATTCTCAATGATGGACTTTGACGAAAGAGCACCAAACACACAGTAATCCACAATATGCTTACTATTAAACCAGAAACTTTCAACATAAACTTTTTGTGAATTGTTCCTGATGGCCATTTTCACGGCAAGAAACTTTTGCAAATAGCAAAATTAGTGTGTTGATTCCCATATTTGGAAGCATACTTCACAAATCTGGACTCTTCTTGAAATTTGGTGTTCTGGTGTTACAGTATATCTTAAAGCCTTGAATCAGCCGTCTTCCTTCATACAAATATGCTAGGTTTCTTATAGTGTGCATAAAAACATTCATGCATATGAAACATCGTATTTGGTTCCTTACAGAAAGCATGATCAAAGGACAGCGACACGTGATATGGGGGAAATATCATTATTGACGAAAAAGAAATAAATTGCATAGGTACAAAGAAAAGCAACATGACAATGACGAAACACAACAAACATCCAATGAACTACATGTACACTGTATAAGTGTAAATACCTTCATAAAACAAGCATATATCACATTCCAAAAATCTGAATTAATTTTTCTCTCATTTATACTCTCTCAAGAGCACCAATCAATTATCACTTCAACTGTATATCAGTATATCATCAAGGAATAGTCATGTTATCATTTATTCTATTTATGTAGCCTACCGTATGTCTTACATGCAAGCTGGACATTTTTAAAGTTTAAATCTAAATCATTAGTATGCATTAATTTCCAAAGATGCTTTAATATGGAAGGTGCTTAAAGGTGTTAGGAAAAGTGCCAATTGGAAGATGCAGACATGCAGTTAGAAAGTTTTAGGACACATGCAGGGCTATATGCACAGCCAGAAATTTGCATATTGGGGTCAGAAACCTGCTAAAAAGGGAGTAAAGGGAGAGAAAATACATGTAATATAAACATTCTGCAAATATATTCATGTCTAGAAACATTTGTTTATATATATCATGACAAGGCTGATAGGTAGTGACCAAGAACATGCACTCTGCAGATAAACATGAAAATAAGAGCCAAAGAAGCAAAGTGAAACAAAATTAATACATTGATCAAACATGGATAAGAATCATTTGAAATATATATATATATATATATATATAAAGAGATTCATATTTATCTGACACAGCTCAACTATGTCTCATTATGAATCAATATATTATAGAGGAAAGCAGCACAAAGGATTTGAAATCATATACAGTGCTAAATAAATCATTAATTGGATAGCGTCATGCAAATCAAACTCATATCTTCACAGTCCTGCAAGCTTTTGATTCAAAACTTTTCTATAAAATTATCTCAATCAAATAATTATTTCATCACATGTATGAATTTTTGTCAAAGTTTGACTTTCATGAAAGTTATCATATATTAAAGTTTTGAAATATACACCACAACAAATTGTAATTCCTGGAGATTTTTAAAATCAAATACACATTCTTTTTCTTTTCATTTCCTTTTCCCCCACTTACCCAAAAGCGACAGCAGCACAGTAATAAGCAATGACCACACTGAAAACCACTTCATTCTCAAAAGTGAGTTTTTTAAATGACATCCAAAAGCTTGCAGTTTGTGTAGAAAACCGCACTTGAGAAAAGAGTGCTTCTACTAGGATCACATAAAATACATAAATAATGAGAGAAAAAATGTTAAGATCTTTCTTCATACCCCATAGACAGAAACAAAGACAGTGAATATAGCAAATAAATAACAGTGTTTGACCCAGTGATGAAAAGTGAAGTGTATATGATCCTCTTTCAAAGTTACTTCAAACATAAACATGTTTGTCAAGGATCTTGACAGACAAATAAGAGTATAGAAGGGGAGGGTAGGAATATAAGGTAACAAGGAATACACAAACATTCTTTGAAGGTATCAAGCCTCACAAGCATAGAGGGATTTCATTTGGATCAGAATCGTCCAAATCGTTCAACAAAAATTCACTGACATGAACTGCTAGTCATATAGTCTACAGCCAAGCAAAGCCAAATGTCATAGGCTCTACAACATTATCCAGAAGGAACTAACAACCCGCTGCAATTGAATCCTTCCGCTGCCAAGATTATACACCCGATCCAATACCTATATATATATCCTCATGCACCGCTACCAAAGCAAGCAAATATGGGATGTGATAATAGCTAATCATTGTGTTCTATACCATTACTATAATTCTAAGTAAGCTTCAATTGCAAGCAGTCATTGCCTTCATCTCCCATTAAAACCATAACTTAAAAATGCTTGTGAAACATGATACAACATCTGTTGTTAAGAGCACACATATCAAATGATGACCAACTTGTTAGGACGTACATTCAATGATAGTCTGACTACAGAATATATTAAATAACTTCTTCATCTATTCATAAATCATTCAATATTTTCCCTGGAGGTTAACAGTGTAGATGAGTGACCTTCTTATTCATTTTAGGTCAAATATCTTAAAAGGGCTCCTTTTTTATTGTGTCATAGACTAAAAACTTATCAATAAATCATAAAGTCAAACAAAGATCAAGAAATTAAAAACAACTGACTTATGTTCGTCTCTTACACGCTTTACTAAACAAGTGAATTATATAATATCGTAGTGCATTAACAAAAATGGTACTTTTCATTCTCAAATCTTGTACAGTGCATTTAAAGCTTACCGGTACTTTGAAATTAACAAAATGAAAATACAGGTGATAAGGCATGAAATTAAAAAAATCATTTTAATTTTACAGTTCAAGTTCAAGTTGAATGCACTTGAGTATTCCTATGAAGTCTTGTTGATAAGCAGTTCAGGTTTTCTGGCATAATTTACTAACTACATTTATTTCATTTCAATTTAAATGAAAATAATGGAAATGACTATTGAAATTAAGTCTTTGTATTTCAAAGGCTGAAACAAACTTTATTAAATCATAAATGTTGTTTTCATGCAAATCAATTACTCTATATTATTCTTCGTTCTTAGGCATTTATTCTTATTGCGTCATCTTGTTTTGTTTTTTAAAGACTTCATTAGATAGTGAAGCTTGCTACTTTTGTTTTTATTTGCAATAACCTAAAGTAGCACGAAATCTGACTCTTGTTTTTAAATCGCTCTTCGATTAAATCTTCAGAATCACAACCACAAATTGGCGTAATGGAAGTACATATATATTCAACAGGAAGTAAAGGGTTTTATGAAGGGGATGTAACAATAAAGGGGGTGTCGCAATGCAATTTGATCGACTAAGGAACATGTAGAAGAAATGGGAAAGTATAATGAAGATGGCTGAATTTGATTAATCTTTTCACATAAATGAATCTACGAGAATGTTATATCACACTGTGATGACATTATAAGGTGATAATAAGTCAAGTTGATAGTGATGGGACAAACATGCTTTAATTTCAAATGTTAATAAACCATACTATATCACTATTGTAAGGGAAATAGTTATTAATATATGCACTACTTTACTAGGGTCTATTTCTGTTCTTGTGAGATGGGGGATATTGAAAAAAACGTATATATATAATGAAAAGATAACTTTAATGTTATGTTGCCTGCATACCATTTGATATGTTGTGAGAATATGTAATTTGGCATTCAAAATTGAATCACTAGCATGAAAACCCTTCACGATTCTTTTCTTGTACTATATCCATGAAACTGTACATTTGAAGAAATCCCAAAATCAATTACCCAATTTCTCGAGCATTTTAATCAATCTATCTTAGATTTTGTTTTCTTCTTTACGTCTATCTTCATAGAATTTTCGCTTGTAAAACTAAGTAATTACTAACATAGCTATGTGTCCTGATCAATCATATTATATTAATTCTATCATTAGTAGCCCTAACCATACACTACAGGTATGTCTAGCACAAAACACAGTTGCATGCTATCTTATCATTGCTGCCATTTACTCAAATAGATGAAGCAATGTTAATGTCACAGCACCCATATATCAATGCCTAGTCAATTTCTAATCACAATAAAGATGATTTTTAAACAGGAATCATACTTTTTCAATGAAAAACAGCGTTCTGATCTAATGAATGCTATTTGGGTGATGCGTCAATGGCTAGCATAAGAATAATAAACTTTTACCTTTCCAAGTTGTGCATTTTCGAACCCTTTCTGCAAAATATAATGTACCAGTACATCATTTTTGCGTTTTGATTGCAAACACACATGCATATTGCATCTACTTGGATTGTGACAACCAATCAATTATCATTACTGGCTGCCCAATAATCACAAATACTATCATGACTGAAAACTGTCTATCAGTAACTAGAAGGGAATTATTAAAATTACTTATGCTTTGACCTATTGATATAATAGCGACTGTCATATTTATTTATTAGCAGCTAATCTCCAATAAACTTTAATATTCATTTTTAAAATGTAAATACCGGAATATATATCACTTTATCTGCACTTAAAAAATGATAGAGCAGCTTCTTTTTAAAGTTAACAATGTGCTTGTCAAATTACAAACTAAATCAATAAATTTTGTGTTGCATAAATTACCTCACCAATGCGGTGACATTCCTGGAATATAATAACGTATTTGGTTTCAAGAAATTATTGATGTGAAATTATTGTATCTGGAAAAAATGGCATAAATAAAGTGCATGATGAAATGACTGTTAAAATGAGATAACTCATAGCATGTTGTTGATTTTAAATAAAATAAATACGAGTGATAAGCACCTTCGATTGTTAGTGATCTTAACAAATCATATATTTGAATCCAATGGCGAGAAGCTTATATGATATGGTTAGTGTATGTATGGTGTAAAGGACTGGACTTCACTGGCTTGGTTGGCCAGGGAGTAAATAATGTCTAACCTCGACTAGGACATGAGGTGGACTTCGTGGTATCTCTACATAGCCTGCAGGGATCGATCGGGAGCGATCCTTCGCTTTCCGCTTCTAAGGGAGTTTGGGGGATGCAAGTAGAAAGTGGTAAAACACTGCAAAATCTCATGTTTTTATGTTGAAAAAGAAACATGAATTACTCTGAAGCATCAATATGAGCACTTTTCAAATTGACAGAAGTGTTAAGTAATGAGCCTTACTTGAATCAAATACATTACGCCCTACAAAGAATGCATGACAATTCAATTTAATTTGTTTTTGTGTTATTTTTTAACAAAGACTTGATTACGGATAATCAAACTGGTGACTCATGTTAAATGGACATATATCAAATCTTGCTGTTGGTAAATGAATGAATGATTCAATTGAATCTATTGCTTATAAAAATGAGCAGTTGAGCATGGTACCAAGTATGCAGTGCTACACAAAACCATATTAAAGCAGCATACCCACATGTTGAGCTCTCCCTAAATGCTTCTAACTTTAATAATCAACAATGGAACCAATTGAAAAAAATATGCCTCAAATAAAAATATATATAAGTAGCCAACTGTAATACCTAACATATATATAGTTTAAAGGTTATTTTCCCCTGGTCAGAGATAATTACAACAAAGTCATTAACACTAAGATATCAAGCTAAGTAGCTAACTATTTCTTTGTGAGCTTCTGTGTTGACTTGGCTTTCAAATGTCTATTTTTTTCAAAGGAATGTAACTTTTGTTTTCATTAAATTTGCTTCATAACATTGATTTTCAATTGTAAGTACAGACACTGCTCTTCGTGACTGATTGGAAATACACCATGTCTGTACCAATGTGCAAAGTGTTTTACAGGTAGTTGCTATGAAACATTCAACACACATTTTGCTAGAGTTCTGTTACGAAGAAACAGATGAAAAAGATCATGCGAGAAAACAGGTTTATTGGAAATTATGAATCAACTTTGACCTATCTACTTCTTTTGAATTTTTCATTTTAACGCACAAAGGTAAATTAAAACAGAACATAGATAGACATTGTCCAAAACAGCAAATCAAATTTGGATGGTGGAGACAAAAATATTACAGCAAAAACATCAAACTAAGAAAGGAAAAGAAATCCAATCATTTGAAAGTGGGATAAAAACTTGATATGGTTTATTGGGTAAACATCACATCAAACTCTGGGAAAGAAATAAACAGAAAGGGGGGAAAAAAGCATAAAATGATACTAGAATGTAATACCTTTCTTGCCTACCCTCCTTTGTAATTGCTTGCTAGATCTTTTTATGAAAACAATTTGGTCAAACACTGTGGCTATTTATTTGCTATACTCACCGCTTTCCAAGCTACGCCTATACTCACTTCCTCACTACCGTCTGTCTTCTCATAGGACACGCTCTCTGTGCTGCCATGCCTGGGTGTACCACTGCTACGTCTGTGATGTCTCTCCTTAGCCATGGCCTCGGACCGTGGTACATCGGTCGACAGGTCCTGGCCTAGAAGCTCACGGACTTTGGTCTCACGCACCATGTCCAAGGCCTGAAGAGGAAGGAGGGGTAGAGGGGTAGAGTGGTAGACGGGGGAGAGGGTGGAATGGGGAGGGGGAAGGGCCAGAACACATACAGCAATGAGATGGAAGAATGCACTTGCAAGAAGTATAAGGTAGAAGAAAAGCTTGTATATATCTACATGGTAAAGTCTGTGCCAGGAATGACAAGAAAGATCAGCAGAAAATGAGTGAAAGTGCTGCCTAACATCCTGATTTCTCTAAACCACCTAGTTGTAACCCTTCACCTAATTACTAAGATAAAACTTCAACTCCTTTAAACTATCTATATTTGAAAAAATTAATAATTACTGTTGAGTATATCTTACTTGAGGCAGTTCAATTTACCTGAACTATTTACAAACCAAACTCAAAACATCACAACACACTACAAAAGACACTGCGCAACATGGATTAGCTTCATGCAAAATTCACCATAGCCAACTTTCCTTGGTATTTTGTTTTAAATAAAGCCATGAGTAATTGATGGAGTAAGAATGGATTTGCACAAGAACCAAATGTTAGCAAATGATATTGGTCAAATTATTCCAAATTAGAAAGTATCCATCACCAAAAATTTACAGAATCACAATTTAAAGCATTCATGGTTTTCAAATTGTGTGAATTTCTATGATGTCTAATGACACAATGGCAAACGCAACTTACCTTTGCCTGTCAATGGAAAAGAAATGATATTTAATTTCCATCCTAATAACTTCTTTTATAACAGAAGCATGAGTGACTGGATGAGGAATTGCTTTTGACTTGAATGTCTGTCATCATTCACTAATCAGTGAATTCTGCATACTAATCATGCCTGTAATAACTTGATTCAACTCATTGGTGTGTTCTTTTAGCTGCAATGAAAATATAACTACCCATGCTACTAAAGAAGAGAATCATCACATTACTAAACCGAGGTGCTGACACAGCACAAATAATGAGCACTCGGTACCAAACTGAATAAGCTTGTAGTCGAAGAGTGAATATATGGATGCAGAGTCTTGTACAGCCCAAGAAATACTACACTGATCTTCTACACGTAGCATATATTACTACATAACATATGCTTTTGATCCACTCCAAGCTTTACAGATAAAGGGATGGATATGAATTTCTAGCACTCAGAATTGAAATGATACCAACAGTTCATGATAAGAATGTAATTCATGGCACAACAGATTTCAGAAATCACATTTATATCTGAAATATACAAGGTCAAATACATGATTTTGCAAAATGAAGCATGAATATTAAAACAACCTTCACAAATAAGTACATTTCAATTCTTCTTAAGCACAACACCAATCAGTGATCAGAAAACCATATACCATGTTCTTATTTTCAGTTTACTGCATTCATTTTGGAATGACTATAATTCAAGCTCTAACAATGAGATTAAACGTTCCTAACTAAAGCAATCTGCTTGTATACATCATCCTAATCACAATGCACGTACGACTAAGGCCTATAATGTTCTACTAAATGCCAGACTGAAGTACTGCTTTCATGAGGTAAATAAAAATAAAAATGATATTGCAAATTAATAAACCTTGCTCATCTATACCTTCTAACATCAATTTGCTTTCTAATAAATATACGTAGGAAAAAAAATAACTAAATGCTCCCTAACTATCAAACATGTCTTTCATTTCCAATAAGTGTCCAGACTCGAAGCTGCCCGACTCTAAATACTTACATTTCTGCGTGACTTCATGGCACACTCCTCCAGTATCTCTGCAGCATCATACTTTCCTTGTCTCCTGTAGAGCGCCCCAAGGTTCTTAAGGGTAGTTGTTACCGTAGGACTACTGCGTGACCGACTATAAGAAGCACACAAAACAAAATACTGTCAGTATCCAGGAATACCCTTACACTTAATGCAAGTTTCTATGTCACATATTATATGAATACTACTTAGTATGGCCAGGGAATTGATTTGAAGACAAGTATTCACACACTAGTTAATATTCTACATCAAAAATACAGTTTAAAACAAAATAGAATGAAAATAAAAAACTACTTCTCTAATAAGTGTACAATAATCATTGGTAAAGATTCATTTAATCCTCAATTATTACATGAAATTTGTTGATGTTGTAGAAATGTCTTATAGCCCCCTTTCCCTTTACTTCAGAATATACCTATATCATATCTTCACGTGACCAGAAATGTTTCAACCATTTTAAGGTTGCTCTGAAAAAGTACTATTTGGGAGTACCATTTGGGATTTCAAATGCCTCCAGCGGACAATCCAGGCCGAGTAGAAAATTCAGCGAGCCCACAGGAATTCAAATCAATTTTTGATGTAGGATATAAAACAAGTATGCCCTGCCTTCTTTTTGAGGTACTAGTTAAAAACTCCAATAGTACTTTTGGAGTCACCTCTTGCCCATAATTTAACCAGAACCCCTTAAGACAGTGTATATTTGTATACCTCACTTTGCTATCACTATTCATCATGAGTTAAGGCAGGAAAAATAAATTCTAAGATTTAATCCTAAATTGACCTATAATTGCCCATACACACATTCATGTTTACCAGTAGGAACAACCCTTACCTATCCACTTTAGCTGCTTTGTGCCATCCACCATAATCACCATACGGTGCGTTATCCTTGAATTTACCCTAAAGAGGTGAAAATAAAGAAAATAAATGAAAAGATTATTGTAAAGCTATACTGGAAGATGGAATGGTGAGATACATAGAGAAGCTAGGAGTCTCAGGAATGAATGAGGAAATGCACGAGAAGAAGAGAAAGTAAAGTACATGTAATCAACAAACCCTAGAAGATTATGTTACACAGGATAAACCAAGATTAAACATGACCAAGAGATAGTAATAGCTTTGTATAATCATGAAAGAGTTTCAGAGAATTAATGAATTCTATATTTACAGATTATGAATATTTGAAATCATTTGCTTATCTTGAAATTAATAATTTGACTAATAAGAATCAATGTGTAGTTGCAGGTAAATAAATTCACAGGCATTATAAACGTTTGATATCATGGAGAACATTACACAACTTCTAGCATGTAAATTCCAAGCAGTTCTACTAGCCCAATATGCAAAATGTTTTTAGTAATGTTGATGTTGGGGATTATAAGTGCACATGTAGCAGTGCTGATGCAATATTTGTTGTGATGTAACAAGATAATATTTGATATGTGGTACTTCAAAAACTTATCAATGAGTTAAAGAACATGGATGAAGATACAATAAGATTCTAATACATGAAAGTAAATGCAATCATCATGGCTTGAACTTTGATTTAAAGTTTGCTACCAACTTTGATTCTACAAATCCAATGTCCATTATCATAACATGTGTTTTAATGATTGTTCAATCAACTTTCTTTCAATCAATGCTGGCTTGTGCAAGACACATTGGAAAAAATACAATTAGTACTACAACTTGATCATACTTTTTGGCTAATTTCTGAAATGCAACAGGAAGTTTGTTCATCAATAACAAAGGCAAAGAATTACAATAGTAAGCTATAATCATTCAATCTTTCATAACAAAAGCCAATCAGTGACTAACATCCAACAACAGAAAGCACTGATTGGCCAATGATACCAAAGCTGAAATTGGTTCTTAATGTGCTATTGTTTATAAGCTAGTAATGTGTGGTGCTCTGGAGAGGGGAGTATGATTCCTTGTCATTAATAATTCATCTCCCAAATTAATGACCTTTTCATAAAATAAAACTAAGTGATTTCATATGCTCATAAGCTGAACAAAACACAAATGTCTAGTATTTCCATATATCACTCAATACCATTAAGTTCCACACTCTCTATTATTCAAAATACTGGTATTTCTTTGGCCTATATTCTCAATATTGGACCACAAAGGGAATTAGCCATTCCAAATCATGAAATGCATTTTGCAGTGTACACTATATCATTATTTTATCTCTGGCACATTTAGAGTATAGCTCCCTCTGTTGGCAATTATGTATCAGTAATACAGTACTTGCAAAACAGTGGCCAAGCCTACTACTTTATGCAAATATATTTTGTCCTCACATCCATTAGCAGGCTGGATCTATTTCTTTCCAATTGTTTGCATATAAACTGAAAAACAAATATATACGAATGGCATTTGTGTCAACAATCTATTCCCAGACACAGCTTTATATACTGGGAGAGCCTATCCAAATGTGCAATTTTTCCAAAAATGTTATGAATTTGAAATGTGAAATGGCTATTTGCAAAAGTTCATGAATGATACTGTTAATATGTGCACAAAGCATGGAAAGGATTCAAATAAGTTAGGCATCATTATTTACACAAATACCACAGTATAATATTTATATCGCACATATCATATTAAGTGTCTAAAATGACATTTGTATTTTGTTCAACCTTATTTCCACACAGATTAACTACATGCACATGCAACAAATTCCACAGAGAACTACAAGAAAATTGGTTTGCAATTGGTCTGTTGAATTTATTGCACATGCACAAGACTAACATGCAAACTTGCATGCTACAAAATAATAATTACAAAAAAAGAACATAGCTTCACATACGTGAACATGAAAAGGTATTCTAACATGCATTACTAAGGTTAATGTGAGTTAAATGTACATTCTTTACTTTAAAAATTATAATAATAAATTCTCTTGAAACTAATGATTTCAAATTTCTGTAAATGCTAAATAAAAACATGACATGTCTTTGAAAACTGTCAATTGTTGATATCAGCAAAATTTTCAGAACGTTTTTGTTTATTTATTTTATTATTATTATTATCCTTATTATTATTTTATATATTATTACTCCCTTTTTCCTTTTTTTTTCTTTTTTTTGGGGGGCATTTACAATTGTTTTTAGGTACAAGTCAAAACACTAAGTCAAACAAAATCACATGCTATGCCATGGAAGAACAGATATTAATAAACATTAAAACATATGCACCATCAGATATATTTAAGAATTTTAACACTTGTGACCTTTCTGCAAGTTATCAATGACATTACTTTTAAAGTTTATTCGATAAGTTTTAATAAAATTTGAAAGTTTTTTAGATAAAATGTGACTTTAACAATAACTACTGAAGAATGCATCTATAAAGAAGCAGGTGACTTCAAAACCATTTGATTGCCTTCATTTTAAAGAAAATTCATAATTTATCCAACTTCCATTTACGGTTATTCAGAAGAACTTTTTAGCTCCATTTTCTAGTTTTAAAGTTTACTCGAATTCATTTTTTGACTTGATCATGAGTTAATGACATGATCAAGATATAATAAGACTATTTGACGAAGTATGGAATTACGTTTTTCTCTCTTTGGTGATATTGGGCAAATTCAAAAATAAAAAAATCATTATCATCAAAAGTAACTGTTTGTTAGTAGTTATTTTCATGCATGTTAATTAGCACAGGCATTCAACAGACCAATTATATGTACAACTTAAAAAATGAAAAGAAATAAAATCATGCACATAATCAACAGAAATAAAAACTGAACTGGCACTTTGTAATCATGTAGTACTCTTTGAATTAAAAATAAATATCATTGCTTATTACATTGATAATAATAAAATCAGGTTATTACACAACCTCTATACCCTTACAATAAATCAAATTGCATCACAATGGCCGTCTTTTTCTAGCACACACCATATCAACATGATCTATAAACATCATAATCCACTTTGTGGGTAAGAAAATATTTAAATTAATTAATCAAATTTTCATTACAATAAATCTACAAAATATATACCTTGTAACTGGCACAAAAGTCTATTTCATAGACCTTTAAATGTGACTCACTAGAGAACTTTGTATAATTTTAAGGCAGTTTTAAGGCAAAAATATAATAACAAGTATCTTCATAATTTTATTGACCATTGACTGCACAAACAAGTCAATAGTTTGACCTTTAACCCCACAATATCTTGTGGGGATTTGTCTAAGGTGCTTCATCCAAGTACTATACTATCCTATTTTTCTGTTATTTAAAAAACAAACTCAATTCTCATACTGTTACTTTTGCATGTAAGATAAAAGAAGTTTGATCAAGTTGTATCTTGATAGTTTTAAGCAACAACTATACTTTACAAACACATATTTACATGTACATATGACTTGAGAGTGAATTACTTCTCTGACATGACATGCCAAAGTTTCAATCTCTTCAATTTGTATTGCTTTCAATTGTAACATTACTAGCACAATCTCCATGATCAAAATTACAAATATTCCTTCCCACATGATATACTGATCCATGAATACTAATTGCTACATGAAAGACATAAGACGTAATAAATTAAGCTCTTCCGAATCACACACTAATCTGCTAGACACGGGATTGTTTGGACTCTAATGTGGTGATGATTCTATCCTTTTAATTCACATCAACAAGTATTCCACAAGGTCTGACTGATAATAATTCAATCTCATGATTAGAAATACCACTTGGCTTAAATAGTGATGCACTTTTTATTGCAAATCTCCTTCCATAAATGATGACACCAAGTTCTGGTCATATCTTCAAATGTTTCACCCCATAAACAGAATTCAATGAGCAAACTATAACTACAACATAAGAAAAGGGTCCGCGGAATCAAAATTTAATTTCTTTCTATTGGGTCCATGCCTTAGTGAGTTTTACATCATCTAATCTTTCTTCTTAATCCACTACATCCTGTTGTTAAAACAAGGCATGTGGCCCGACAGATGATGAAAGGAATATTTTGTTATACCTGCTACGTACTTGTTTGTTGGATTTTGCTGATAAATTACATATTTTCCAAGTATAACCTACGATAGTATTTGGTATAATGCAAGTTGTTATATGTATATGGACTTACAAGGAGCTTTTAAATCCATTATACTCTCATCTTTAATCATCCTGCGGACAGAATTTATTAGTGTAACTGAAATGTTTTTTCTTGAAGCATATGGAAATTTCCAAATGTTGTTTGGAAGAAATAAACTTGATACAGTAATTACAAGTATGTCTAGGAGGAGGGACACTTGGTTTGACTAGTCTTCTAGAATGTTCAGTTTTCTTCAACAGTTTTTCTTTCTACATATTCAACAAGACATACCACTTTGTTTTTTATCCCAATGCAGGGTAGGCATGCATAAAGGAGTTGGCACAAATAACCACATGTTAACTTTATGCTTCCCCCCCCCCTGATTTGCGCACAACCATTCCCTGACATTTTGAAACGTGAATGTGGACTGGTTTTAAATTATAGACAGAAAATAAACCACTGGAGTAATCCCAGGGTTAAAAGCCTATTTTGTCAAAGAATGATTCTATAGTTTGATGCTAGAGAATGATGTTCCGTTGATCACACCAACGTTTGTTCAGTTGAGGGCCTTAGTATCTTGGAGAATTGAATCCATGCTTCGTCTATGTAATACTTAACTTGGGCTGGCAACAATGAGGACTAGTTGATAGAGTCATAAAAAAAGAGAAGAGTTACTATACAATGGAAAGCAGGTTTGTGAAAGATATAGTTGGAGTAGATATACTTAAGGCCATTTCAGGAAAAATATTATTTCATTGTCTGTGTATGCATCTTTGTTTTCCCTCTTCATTTACCTCCCCCCCCCCCCCCCTATCATTTTTAAAAACATAAGGAAGTATTATATCAATATATTCATATCATTTTATCATCGCTGAAGAGTTGGTTGAAAATGAAGACTTTTGTTTGTTGACCCTTATCTTGCACCCATTTTCCCAAAAGTTATTCAAATAAGATTATATAAAACCAAATGTTCAGAATATGTTTCCTACCTCACTTCAATACTTTATTCATTTATATAGAAGAGTTCCATAGGATGTGCATAATATGGCTTTGATTATGATGCATAATCCTTACGTTTGCTCAGTTTAAAAATGTGTAATGTTAAGAAGCAAAGTAATATGTTCAATATTAATCACTTGTTATTTTTATGAAATAATAAATTGAATTGAAATTGTTGAAGATATAGGATGTAAATGGATAATTTATATTGTGTGAAGACGTGTAAAGATTATGTGGTAAGATCAATTACAGATATATAGAATAAAATGGATTGCACGTGAAGAAAGATCGCTCCATGATATACCATAATGCCATGACAGCAAGAAAAGAGAGGGAGTAAAACTACCCCATCTTCTTTAAACCACTTATATTCTGTATGTTTTCATTAAGTAATGTATAACTTCACTTTATTATTCAAATTTGAATGAATATTTCTTTCATAATGAAATGAAGGATATATACAATCATCAAGGTTTATTCATGCAGTTAGTATATTTGTGAATACAGATAGGTATACAACGTTCATGCTTATAGTATGGGATGGCAGAAAAAGGGGAGGGGAGAATAGTTCAGTCTTTGATTGAATATGAACATGTATATTTCAGATGTCAATAGTACAACATTGTATTTCTTTTATGAATACAACTCATCATTGTATTACAGTTCACAATAAATATGCTTCTAGGATTATCTAGTCAGAAATTAATTTGACATTTGCCTTCCCGAAGCATACACATTTTGAAGTACTTTGGCTGACAGAAAAATGTGTTGATTTGATTAAATTCTGATTTCAAATCAGTGCAGTGCACTTTTTTAACTTGATCTTTAAAATATTTGTCACATCCTGTGTTTTCTCACCAATAGGTCTTCCCTAGTATTGCAATCTTTATTAAACCCTTTTGTTTTAGTTATGTTATATTTTTGTAAGATAGATAGATAAATAATTTTATGAAAGACCGACTATAAATGATCCCTTTTTACTCACAACTTTATGATCATATACAAACAGTTAGTAAGACGGGGTATGTTGTCCAATCACCATTGTACACTACATGCTTGTAAATAGTTCATGCTAACAAACAACAACAACACATGATAACACAACTATATAGAGCTATACATAGTAAGTGAATACATAGCAAGCGTAGGGGAGGAGGTGAAGAATCAAATATGCATGATAATTTGGCTAGCTTGTTAAGGTATGCATACAGGGGAAGGAGGAGAGGATTAAGATATATTTCATGATTTGGCTGGCTTGGGTTTTCGTTTCTTCACCTTTTCTTCCCTCTCCTCAGCCTGCATCCAGATAGGTTTGTTGTCCTTGTCATCAGCGCTTAGACCAAACTCCCTCTCGTGGGCCCTGGTTAGGACCTGCTTGTAGAGGGTCTCTGCAGCCTTGTACTTGCCCTGCTTGAGGTAGGCTGCAGCAAGGTTGTTCTTTGTCTTAGCTACGTTAGGATCATCGGGACCAAGCTTCTTCTCATAGATTTCTAGTGCTCGCTGGTAGTACCACTCAACCTGATGTATGAAAAAAGGGAGGAAGGGTACAAAGAAAGCAAAATGGAGAGAAGAAAAAGTTGAATTAGAAAGTGATGGTCACATATTACATATTTTCTTTTAAATATGGAGTGAACTTGTAAAACACTTGCTTCGAATATAGCACCTTGTCTTGTACAATGGCATGATCATGTTCTGTACTATATAATGATGAAATTAAAGAGGCATATAAATATCTCATTGATCTACATTGAGAAGAGATTCTCAACTTTATTTTCAAGCACACAATCCTGTCACCAGATTCCTTTCCTTAATCTAAACTAGTAGATATTTGTCTTTGGTTTCACTAAATTACAAAACTAGACCTTCTTTAGAATTTCAATATTGAATCATCATAATGGTTGTACATAGCATCTTGGGACATAGAGAGTGCAAATACTATTTCTAATCTGTTCCAAGAAAAGAAGCTCAAAAGTATTTATCATACCTCTTCATATTTTCCTTGATTTTGGCAGAGTAGAGCCAGATTATTTAGTTGCTTAGCTACATCAGGATGATCTTTCCCAAGAACCTGTATGGCAAATGAAAACATGGTTAAAAAAATAGTGTTAACTTCATATTGATTGATAAGATAAGTACCTGCATGCACCTAGCAGCTAGGCCCTTGTTTCCATAATTAGTTTATGATCTTATCAAGTCATCTCCAGACAATTTAATTAATTCAAAAAATGATGAGAGGATGCAATGTTAAAACCCAACAGGTGAATTCTGAAAAAAAAAATATTAATTTTAGAAAGTGTGACATCATGTTGTTATGTTGTCATCGTTACTGGGTGTAATTAAATTAGCACCGACTGAGTCATCGTAATCAAAATGGCAGCTATGTGTGAAAGTGTCCGACTCCATGTGAACAGTGTGAATTGTCTGAACCAGTGACCTTGACGATGTGTGAATGTGACGTCAACACTACTCATGTTTGCTCCTACTCACATGGCACATACACTAATGGAAATGCACAATGCATCAGTCAATTACTTTCTTCTTGTAGGTAGCTCTAACGACAGCTCCAAATATGCATACCAGAAATAGAATGGTACACTGCAACTCAAGTTCATTGTTTGTATATGAAGACTCTCCTAGAGCCCCATCATTCCATCCTTCATCATTGTCTTGTACAGATTAAAATTAAAATCTACTAATCTTAATACAGGGATGCCCAAAAATATCTCAAATACTGTATTTAGGGTCGAACAAAGTTCAAAAGCAGAATATAATTTACAGAGTTGGTATTGATCTCATCAAGATTAAAATACTATAAGGAGCAATAAAAATGGCATAAAATGTCACATAAACAATTAATTTACTTTAAAAGAGTAGCAATTTCAATGTTGTATTAGACAAAATGAGATTATACAGAACAAAAAAATACATTAACTTTCCCTCAAGCAATTTGCCTTTAATAATCCCTACATCCTACTATCTTATTTTTCTGAGAATTCATTATCAGAATTACACAGATATGCCAGACTGGCAATTGTACTGTAATGGCCATGAAATTCTAAATGGCAAAAAAATATATATATATATATACGATTATTGCATTTAGGCCAACATATCTAATTTTGTTATGATATTTTCTCTTATTCTATTATGGTAAAATATTTTAGGTTTAAGTTTTTATTTATCTATTCACAGTTAAAAAGCCTGCCATCAGCTACAAGCTGCTCTTCAACGAGGACATGATAGGTGGTCTACATTGCAAAACTGTTAAACTCAGTAGCTATGCAGACTGCACTGTCCATTATCATTAATATGATTTATTATCAACTATAGGAAATTAGTACATTCACTAGCTCTCTCTCTCTCTCTCTCTCTCTCTCTCTCTCTTTCACTCATCATCATGCTCTCTCTCTTTCTCTCTTTCTCTCTCTCTCTCTCTAACTCACTGTCTCTCTTGCCCTACCTCGCTCTCTTTCTATCTCTCTCTCTCTTTCTCTCTCTCTCTCTCTCGTATGTCTCTCTACCTCAACAGTTATCCCTGCGTAATACCACTTAGTACTATCAAGGTTACTGTGTAATAAACAATGCATTTCTCTAGCCTCTAAAATTTAATTATATGATAAAAGCCACATAGTGCTGACATTTCTATTGGCAACGAGGTAAATAAATATCATCATTCATGGAAGAGAGGGGAGGAGTGATATATGATAGCACAATTAGACAAGGTGATTAGCTGGAAGCTTAGCTGTCAGACTGTATAGGTGGGTATGTTTCAAAATGAATTGCTCATCAATAATTCAGTCTACTGTTACTAGAACACAAAAATCCAGTGAAAAGGGGCACACTTTAACTACACAAATTAGTCAGGTTGCAATAGTATACACAGGAAGTGCTGACCCACTACCCTTTCTTTTTCTTTGAATTACTTCAAATACCTTGAAAGATCAAATGTATACATTAGTATGTAATTAGCATAAAGAGACCAATATACATGCAATCAATCTGAGGTTCAAATAGTTATAATGTTGATTTGTAAATGTTTTTGTTTTAATATAATAGAAGAAGAAATGAATAATGTTGAAAAATATATGAAATGAAACTGATTATCCCTTACATGATAGAGATTTAGTTCTTATAAAATTATTAAAACGTGCTCCAATTAGCATTAGCAGGAAATCTGATTACTTATCTCCAAGTAAATAGAACATGGAAGTACTACATGCAGTGCTCTGCAAACATATTAAAAGTAATATCTAAATATAGACTACAAGTGTAAGCTTGTACATAAGACTTGAACATGACTAAATTGTTAAAACAGGAAACACAAGATAAAGGTGTTCAAGATTAAGTTGAGTTCTGGTCATGTGATTACAGTGTGAAAGAAGCGGTGTGGAAGCCATTTGGAAAAGTTCGTTATGGAGAATTGGGGGTATATTGAGAGGTTTTGGAATCATCGAAATGACAAGAACTTGACTCTGTCTTGCTGACAGACTTTACATGCACTGCACACGGAAATGTACATTATGGGACTACACATACATGAGGTGTGAAAGTTTGGTCCAAAATTTTCAGCTATTTTGTATCATACTTTGAAAATGAGGGCAGTTAAATAACTCATTTCTTCTGAGATAATCTTACAAACTGACATAAACAGAATAAAAAAAGGCTAACCATTTTATTTTTCACATTGACCAGGACCCATCCTTCCCTTTAAAGTTGTTAAAAGAAATATGTTGATGTGATGTAGATTAGAAGAATGATCTCACCTTTTCCCTGATCTCCAGGGCTCTCTTACATAAAGGTTCTGCTTCCTTGTACTTGCCTCTCTTACCATACAACACTGCTAGGTTATTCAATGTGGCTGCAACCTGAAGTAAAACAGAAAACAGACAAAATATGTTGTTAAGAGTAACATCCCTTAGTACAGTACTAAGTACATGTAACATATCAGTAACAAGAAGAACTGTACACACATAGAGAGAACCACCATCACTAAAATACCTTTCAGATAGACATAATTTGGTTATAACCCAATCTCCCTTCTGAAATAATCCCTAATGAATTAAGGGATTGTATTATGACATCATGTAGGCACTCTTTTTTCACATGCCTGTTACTATTTCAAAGAACAAATAATTTCACATTTCAAAGAATGTCAAATTTCAAAAATTAAAAGTAGATGTATTTAGCATACGATATGCTATATTTCAAATCTGTATGGAGTAAGACATGTATAGGATCTTGAAAACAGTGCTTCTGACAAAGCACCATGATTCATAACTAAAAACAATATAATTTTCGCCCTTAGGTATTTGAACTGATTGTTCAACCTTATACTAGTACATGTATGTGATTCAAAGCACAACAGTTAACCCTACATGCATCTACATGTATACTGTTTCAATTTTTATATGTAGTAAATAAGATCTGCAATCACATCAAGACTAACTGCTTTTGAAATGAGCACAGCTCCTAATAATTACTTCCACACCCGTGTCCACCATCTGTTGGAAGGCGGTGCACATAAAATGTCCAAACACCTACAAATCTTACATCTTTGTTTACATCTATTCACAAACTAATGTACATAGGCATTGAGTAAATGAAGAAACAAGACTCATAAATTAATGAATTCAAAGTATACCTTAGTGATAACAAACCAGCACTTAAATGTACATGTGCCATCAATCTTATCTACCTCTACATAAACAAGTCCCACATGACAAGTGTGGAAGAAGCTCTCTTTATCATGCCAACTGTCAAATTTAGAGAGGGGATATCAATTTTTGTTTAACTTTTCATCTTCATTCTTAATGAATGAATTTGAAATGTCATATATACTCTGGATGTGTATTTTTCAACTAAAAATTTTATAGAAGAATCTTGGGAAGATATATCCCATGATAAATAAGCTACATGTATATCTAATATGAAGTGTATTATACCAAGTTTTGATCAAACTGTTTTATTAAAGACTCAGTCACAAATGCCATTACGAACTGCTATGAATGCCGTATGAACGATTTTCAGACCATGAAAATTTGGGAAAACCATGGAAAAACAGGGAGATTCGTACGGACGCATCGTTCATACGGATCTTTGTGACCGTAGCTTAAGTCAAGCGATTCAGTGTTTTTGGGGTTATCATGAGTCAGAGTAAAGGTGGATTTCATGAAGTGCTTACTCACAATGTATTAAAGTAGGTGAATAATTTAAATACAAAAATTTAAATATGTATACATATCAATCACATACGTATTACAGATAAAGTATTAATATAGGTAGAATCAAATCAATACATCATGATCATCCCCAAACATTCACCAGCATAAAAATGTAAAAAAAAATACATAACAAATGAATAAAATATACCATTTGAGAGTGTGGGAGTACACATCACACTAATGTAAGAAATAATCCCTGTCCCCGATTATACTCTAATGGGCCTTCTCACATTCAGATATTAATAATGCAACACAATTCAATAAATCAATTGAACCATGACCAACTGAGGGAAACAGAAAGCAATTTGTGTAGATGGCGATATACAGCCCACATGATGTGCATATTGCTACATATGTAGATACTAAAGCTATTGGTGCACTGGATATCTTTATGACTTTAACCTTTCAAATGCATTGATGGAAAGTGCTTTAAAGCTCTTCTCCCCCTCTCCCACCATGAAATTGCTGCTATTTATCATATTGTAGTTAGGAATCCATATTTGTTATTTCCATTAACTACATCACTGATATTTTGGGATTAACTCACATCTTATCTGACTTTTCTTCCTCACACTAAGAGACTCATGCATCATCACTGACAACAGACAAAAACTACCATCACTGCCATCAGCAGAATATCCAAATAACACTGTCAGCATGAACATCATTATCATCGTCATATCATATATCATGTCACACCACTTAATCTCCATATTCCATACCAGTCGTATATATATGAGATTAGAGAGTGTCTGTGATGTTTACATGATGAAGTGCTACTTACTGCAGGATGATCTGGTCCTAGCGTCTTTTCCCTGATAGCAAGAGCATCATGTAGCAGGTTACCAGCCTCTTTGTATTTGTTTTGATCCCTGAATAATTAAAAAAAGATATAATTTTTGGTTGTTCAGGATCACAAGACCAACAAAAACTCATGCGAATAAGATACACATGTAAGTGGATTCAGAATGTCTTTGGTTATCCAGGCATTTCTCACTTGTAATTTGATTTAGCACGCTTTCATCATACACGTATATATAAAATAACTCACAAAATGAGAGAATTGCCACATCCTACTATAATTGGTCAGGGGCATTACAAATTCTCTTGTTTAATGTGATATATGTAAAGACACCTAGGGGGGGGGGGGGTGTTTCATAAAGCTGCTCGTAGAGTTACGCACGACTTTACGAACAGCTTGTATATGAAGTGCCAGATAGGATGCCCAAAGATTTTTCTGATATTCCAATAACCTCGATTAAATTATGGCAAAAAATATACTTTGCATTAAAAATGTTTGTTATGATAAGAATGTTAATCTACATCTGCACAGTTCAGCTTAATAAATAATAAACAATAATGATTGAGCACCCCATTTGGCTTTTCATATACAAGTCGTTTGTAAAGTCATGCGTAACTTTACGAACAGCTTTATGAAACACCCCCCAGGGCCAATCTTAGGCAAATCCACTCTCCCATACGAAAAACAATATCCATGAAAACAGATTTACATTTTCTCCATCTGTTAACCATATTGATGCTTTACATCATGCTTATGAAAGTTTGAATCTGTATCAAAGAATGATCATCAAGCAAAGAAATATACGATACTGGGAATGACAAATAGCCTGATGTATAAACTGACCTGTATACGAGGGCAAGAATGTTGAGCATTGTTGCTACATCTGGATGATCATGACCTGATGTCTTCTCCAGATCTTCTAAAGCCTGTTTACAGAGTGGTACAGCCACCTCATAGCGACTCTGTGAGGCGTACTGTATAACCAGGTTGTGTAGAGTACGTAGACGGGCAGGGATCTCATAACCTCCTGCTGCTGCTGATACTGAACCACTACCTGTCTGGGGCTGGGGATAGCTCTCTGCAAGCATAGGAGATGAGGCAGATTAATAATCCAGAATTAATATGATGCATTGACACATTCCATATGCCTTCCATGTATCACATAAATCATCTACATGTATACAATACTTTTTGGCTAGTACCATCTAAATTTTAATCAGTTTACCTTTTCATACTTAAACTACTCCATAAAATTTAGTTAGAACTGTCCATTGGTTATAAAAATTACTAAGTTGGCACAGATATTTCGCATTTTAATTCCAATGGTAAGTTTATACTTCTAGATTCCATGTTCAAAAAGACAAGCTTGGTTGAAATCAATTTGCTAATTCAGTCACATCGATAACCATTAAACAGACGGTTTTCAGAGACATATACATCAAAACACACAGGAAAAATGGTTTCAGCATCTGGACCTATTCCTTAGACAAATCTGTTTGTGCCACCTACAGTACATGCATGCACTGTTTTTTTTAGTGAAGTCATTACATCAAGAAATGATTTGTTAATAGACTCTCCCTCAGGCTCATTCAATATTCATGGCTCTCCACGATGACATCCATTTCTCATGTAAGATTACACATACCATGACAAGCAGATTGACGACGTTCCCTTCTCACACACCTGATCTGCTCACATTACTATCATAATCTGTTCACATTACTAAGATAATTTTGTTGATGTTTCTGTAATCTATACCTGGTGCAGAGCACATGTTCCACAAAGACGTGCATATATTTATTAAACCTAGAACAAGGCTGAAAACATTAATACATAACGCTTGTAGATTTTTTACCAAAGTAGTAATACGTCATTTAGATTGGAACCAGTTGACAGTGGGAAAGTTACTAGAACGATCCAGTATGAAGCTCCTATCATGTGCTAGAATACCTTTAGAGGCACTATCCCTATGGTGATCGTGATGTATGATCTCTTTCTAGGAAACCAAGGTCTGCGCCTCTGAGGATACTATCCATTTTACACGCAGCACACAAACCAATGGCAGCGAGAAGGTTACTGGAGAGAACATTCTAATCATATGCTAGTCTACCTTTTGAGGTACCACCTCTCTGAGGATAGTGACATACGACCATCGCTTTCTAGGAAATCACGGTTTGAGGATACTAGCCCTACTGATATCAATGCACAAACCACCGAGAGTGAAAAGGTGACTCTAGAGACTACAGACAGTGGGGAAGTCAATAGAGAGATGATTGCATGGCATTCTTACCGTCTGCTTGACCACCATCATCATCTTCTGGGAAACCAAGATCTAAGGGATCTGATGATGATGCCTCCTCCTATATATAAGAAAATAAAAAAATCATGACAGAGATATCAATTATAGCTTTGAAATGAAACAAGTTACTGGAAAAATAATGCCATAATCAACTAAATAAGTACAAACAATGTAGTACATGAAAAAGAGATTGTGTATTTCAAATCATATCTATCCTTTTTCAGTGTGGTTGACAAGATATTACATTGATATGACTGACTTTAAACATGACCTGGTGTTACATAAATTATTCATGGGAAATTCCATGTGATGTGTAACCACATGTCCTTTATCTATTTATTTGATTTGATTTGATTTGATTTATTGGTTTCTGCATCTTTTTTCTTCTTTTTTCATCATACATTTTCATGAACATAATATGGTTTGATATAATATTTTAAGTGTATATAATTTTATACAGATAATGAACGAATTTAAACAAATATATTGAATGCATAATTAACATACATTTTCTTTTTAAACTAAAACATTATATGACTATTGAATAATAGTTCTTTCTGGTACCATCACAATTCAATACTCCATGCTATATCAAGAACATTCTTGAAGCACATTGTAGGGAAATATAATCTGTATTTACTAATTATCCTAAATCCATTTTGTTATCAACCTTTTCTTCTTTTTCAATAACAATATATTTATCTCTGCATGCAAGTAGCCATTATCCATAGATGTCCAGTAGTTCAGGGGGTAAGAAACCGAGAGGGATTGAGGGCAGCATGAGAATTAAGTAAGTGAAAGTGTAAACGTGTGTACACATGTAATGCCAGACCCGTGCAAACATAGGTTTCATCAAAACTTGGATGGCAGGATAAATATCTCGCGGAAGATCAATGTTTGTACGTGACCAACCAGAAAATGGAGATATTATCCTCCGTATGTACGGGAGACACAATGGACAGAGAGGGGGTCTTAAGGTTCAGCACTTCCTCCATTTTAAAAACTATTTTATAATGAAAGACCTAAGACTTAATTTGATGGGCTACCTTTAAAGCCTTGCAAATTATACGAGATTTGTATAAATGGAATGATAAAAAGTTATATTTAATATTAATGATTCTATGTCTTTTGTAAATACAAACATTACTTTACTTTTATGATAGCAATCTATGTTTTTTTTTTACTTCAAATAATTATTCAGAGGCTATGCAAAATGTCAAACATGTCAGCATGAATGAGACAGAAAACAGATAATTTGATGGATACATCATCAGCGATGTCTCCATTAAGATTTAATTTAGTCCAAGTCCTTGAATACAATTGGAGTGGTCTCACATAATCTCTTAATGAAATCACATGCTTGTAAAAAAATCTTGCCCAGATTTAAGAATCTTGTAAATAATGATGGGGGAGCCCTGAACAGAAAATTAAAGTATAATTCTGATTAAAAATATAAGCATTTTGAAAATGAAGTTTGCTTTTATATTCTTACAAGAAAATGGGGGGAAAGGGAGAAAGTATTGGCAATGGTATTTGCTAAGGGAAACATTGCTGTCATATTCACTTCACTTTCCTATCAATGTTGCAACAACAGTCTAAAGGATAAACTTCCTGTAATGTCATTTCGCAATCTTTCATGTCCCGAATGGTATTGGTCCATGACATTTCAACATTGTTCACTTTCAAGCGTCTGCAGGTTGACATTTAGATCCTCTATTCCCTCTCCCTATGGCCAGGTGATCCTATTCCATACTATGCATTATTCCAATATCTCAAGCAAGGCCATTACTGATGTACACAATAATTACATGAATACTGATAGCTAATTTTTTCATGGAATTTCAATTTCATACCATTTGCATTTGCTTCACCATGAAATGATTGGGATATAAACATGCTCTCCATGAAAAATTGCAGACTTTATTTCTCAGTTGAGACGTAAGAGCTTGTTCCGTTACCCAAACCTTGATGTAGAAGTTGTAATGTAATATGCATGTTTATTTTAACTTGACTTGTTGTCTTGCATGAGATTTAGAAGATACATGAAGGAAAATTACATTGCTGTAGACAAAACGAAATTGTTTGTATTTCGCCATGCTTTAAAAATATCCTCATCCTACATGTATATGAAAGAAGATTCTTGAATTATTCATGATTACACCTGACTTTCTCCAAACCCTGCAAACAAAAATATAAGCACAGGGGTATTTATAGAGAATTCTCTATTTTTACTGAAAGGCTCATGGATCACGGATACATGTAACAGTGAATAGTTTCTCAGTATGGCTTGTTGCATTTCTTTCTTACAATGTTAAGCTTTTGGATAAATAGAGAAACCCAGGTCAGCTAGACAGGTAAATACAATACTATCACTGAATCAGGCACTAATTGTATTTGCTTAACTTTTCAAGCTTGTACATGGAGCTAATAACCTCGGTATGGAGCAGCAACCAGGCCGTTCGCAATGTTGTTAAACTTAATGAAGCTTTATTACTCTCAGTCTGATACCCCACTCACACCTGAGACCGACTGCAGACCGACAACAGACCGGACAAATATTTACATTGCCTCCAATGGTCAGGGATCTGTCGGTCGGGAGTTGGTGTGGAGTCGGTTTGGTGGTGTGACTGAGGTTTCCCCATTCAGTGACGACTGTTATGCAGAAACTCATTTTTTACAACCTTATCAAATGCATGAGTTGGATGTTGATTTCAACCAAACATACCCTCATTATGCTCCAATTTCAAAGAATATTTTATGTTTCAATGTAATATGTTGTGAAATATGTCTTCCAGGGTTTAATTTGTGAAGTCCTGTTCAATTGTTTTTTAAAGCAACTAACCTTGACCTATTTTGTAATTCCCTTTGTTTTCGCACAATAAAGGTGATATCGCAGGTGATAGCATTTTCTAACCCTGTGTTTAGAATGCATATGAAATTATCATCTCAAAGACTTGAAGGTTTATTACCAGCAATCACTTTTTGTTATACTATAAGATATATATTTTCATCCATCCCTTCCTGAGTTCCATAATGTAACAATAAGGAGACAAAAACTGAACTTACATCTGGTGTGCGATCTTCATCATACTTCTTGATGGAGTTCATATACTCCAGGTGCTTGTATTTGACCTCTAGGTCAGCTAGATTCTGCTCACTGGTCTGTAGTTTCTGTTGGGTGGCAGCCAGCTCATCTCTCAACCAGGTATTCTCCTGGACTAACCTTCGAACCTGAGCTCGTAGCTTCTGCTTCTCGGCCTCCACCATGTTGAGATGGTGACCCAATGCCATCATTACCTACAGGAAAGCAGAAAACAATGGAGGGAACAGCATGAAGGAAACGCGCACTTAAAGGAAAAGATAGCACAATCAGTTTTACCATTAAATCCAATGTATAATATTGATGTGCACCAACATTTTCATCAGACATCATTGGCTTTACAAGATAAATAGTAAGACACTAGCAACAGTATGGTGCTGTGAAGTTGTTGGTTCTCTCTCCCCCCCCCCCCCCCCCCTGCCCCCTTCTCTCTCTTCAAGTGGAATATAAAATGTATGAGAGGTCAAAATGATTCATATGCAACTTGCATACAGTTACGTTTAAATTCATTTTAAATGATGAAAAGGATTTGAAAACATCGCATATACATGAATATACCTTTTTTGATGCAAGTAAAAATAATATGAGACTATGTATCTAACATGATTCATTTTAAGTTCCTAAATTGTCACTTACAAGTACATGTATGATAGAGATTATCTCCCTTCATCCATTTTCTTCCTCCATCTTTTTCACAATCCCTTTCTCTTACTCATTTCCTCCCACCTCACCACTGCCCTCTCTCTCCCTCTCTCTCTCTCTTGCTCTCTTTTTCTCTTCATCTCTCTCCATCCCCTCCTCTCTCCTACATGTAGCCTCTATTCCTCTTCCTCCCTCCATAACACTTGTGTAAATGGCAAATTCCTTTTCTTATAAATGCAAACACAGAAATAAGAAAGGCAAGCTCTGTGGACATGTTATTTATCCTCTCCAATGCCTCCGGTTTTGCCGACTTCGTCCCATACATTGTTGTATAGCCTGAAACTGGAGGAGACCCAGAGGCGATAATAGTAGAGTAGAGAAGTACTATGCTTCATGATGATGTGAATAATTAACCTCATTCATGGAAAGAACAAAAAAAAAGAAAATCTGAAGGAGCAAGATTGTAGTGGTGGTTCAGGTTATTCTTAGCATGCCTTGGAGTATGCTTGGCAAGCATTTGTTCAGCCTGATCTCCTCTAACTTACAGACCGGCTCACTTCTCTCATGTCAATCATCACACATTGTCATACAAGCCTCTTGATTTCCAGTTACCATTGCATATTCATCAAATTATTTGACCAGATAATTGTTTGATAATAAATCTGAATGAATATGCAAAGCTGTTCCCCATAGTATTTTCCTTTTTTTAATCATTCCATATCAGTCTTTAGGAGGAATAGAGCAAGAATCCTTTTTTACATTGATCCCTGATCATATATTTATGAAGTAGGATCATAATTGTATTTCCATAATTAGCAGGATAGACATATCATATTTAATCCTTACATAGTTCGGCAGCAGACCGGGCAAACATTTTGTATGTTACAGATATGAATTCTGTTATAGTAGTTAAAAGAGTTTCATTCCATAAATTATGCATAAAGTTAACTCCTACCCCTACGTCTGAGAGATCTACCGGTAATGAAATCAAACCACTGGCCATGGCACAAAGCAGCTCACATTCAATAGACTCTCAATTTACATGAAAATAATAATGAAAAATATTATAAAGAGATAGTTAACTCTTGACCAATACCAAAGCCAATAGACAGTTTCAGCATGTCTTTTCTTCAATTTCCCCGGGGGGCATGAGGCCATTAAAGCTCATTAATGATGAGCTTATTCCTATGACATTCACACGTACTGTATCACTCTCATCTTAGGTACTAAGCATCTTCAGATATTTGCTCAAATTAGATTTTTGCACCCAGCTAGCCTACATGTAGCATCCATCCATGGGCTCAGGAAGACTTTAATGACAAAAGAGATCTGGTGACATTCAGTCCCATGCAGTTTACTCAATAGAGACAGTGAAGTTGCGGTAGGATATGAGAGGACAGAGAGGGGGAGGGGAAGAATGCAAAGCAAATAGCAGAAAATGAGGAAAGGAAAGAGCTACTGTAGATGAAAAGCAGAACATGAGGAAAGGAAAGAGCTACTGTAGATGAAAAGCAGAACATGAGAAAAGGAAAGAGCTACTGTAGATGAAAAGCAGAAAATGAGGAAAGGAAAGAGCTACTGTAGATGAAAAGCAGGACATGAGGAAAGGAAAGAGCTACTGTAGATGAAAAGCAGAAAATGAGGAAAGGAAAGAGCTACTGTAGATGAAAAGCAGGACATGAGGAAAGGAAAGAGCTACTGTAGATGAAAAGCAGAAAATGAGGAAAGGAAAGAGCTACTGTAGATGAAAAGCAGAAAATGAGGAAAGGAAAGAGCTACTGTAGATGAAAAGCAGAAAATGAGGAAAGGAAAGAGCTACTGTAGATGAAAAGCAGAAAATGAGGAAAGGAAAGAGCTACTGTAGATGAAAAGCAGAACATGAGGAAAGGAAAGAGCTACTGTAGATGAAAAGCAGAAAATGAGGAAAGGAAAGAGCTACTGTAGATGAAAAGCAGAAAATGAGGAAAGGAAAGAGCTACTGTAGATGAAAAGCAGAACATGAGGAAAGGAAAGAGCTACTGTAGATGAAAAGCAGAACATGAGGAAAGGAAAGAGCTACTGTAGATGAAAAGCAGAACATGAGGAAAGGAAAGAGCTACTGTAAATGAAAAACAGTGAGTATGGTGGACACAATGCTGAAATGTGTATAAGCAGGAATAAATACAGAAACTGAAGGGTAAGGGAACAAGTGGTGCACTTCTCGCAAGAATGGCCACCTTAGGCATCAATCAAATTGAGACAGGAGAGATAATCATTCCACATGCATGGCACAGTCTGAATGTACACATCCATGTGAAGCACCATATTGAAGGCTTTTAGTGTAATGAATGTGTCTGGTTTTGCAGTGAGCTGTGGTTGATGGCTTTGCATGGGTTAGGCAGGGTAACTTATCCTGAAACCATCCGTCTGGTCCGTCTGTCTCCTTGCCAACAGGTTACCTAGGAATGAGTGATGAACATGCTGGACGAGGCATGGAGGCACAGAGAGAGCAGACTGGTTTGGCATCTCATTGCCCAGAAGCTAATAAGGAGGAGTACAGCCCATGGTATTGCATCCATTGACCAACCAATCAACATACACACACAAACATGGTGAAAAAGAGGACCTTAATTAACCATGTTGGTAATTCAGTTTCGTAGATGTTATTTACAGACTTAACTCATTCCCTCATTCTTAAACAATATTGTGCAACGATACCCAAACAATATCATCATTGAATAACTTTGCAAAATTTAAAAATAACCTTTGCAACATAGATATATAATTGAAGCATTTCTTTTTCATCTCTGCCAAAAAAAATATGTCTATTTGAAGCATCCCCCCCCCCCCATACCTCACAAAAAAGTAAAGTGCATAAACTTATTAGGAATTTCATGGGTCACATCTAAAAATATAAAACAAGTGGGTCAATTCAAATGATTGATTTTTCAAAACCACTTGTTCTTTAGAATAAATTACAAAAATTCACAAGAATTACTGCTCATAAAACAGAAATGAAAATATTCAGAACAGGAGTATACTGTAGGCATAATAAATTCATGCCATTTTTCAATACTTGAAGCTTAAGCACTAAGAAAGTACTTGTATTGCTTGGGCAGAATCAATCATTGTAAATGTAATTGAGCGAAACAACAATGTTCGGACGTGAGGACTGAGTCCTTTTCTCATTTACTTGCAAATGTGAAGAGAGTTTGTGGGTACATACAGTACATGATTGTCAGTCCCTTGGGCAGAGGCCTCAGAATAAAGGGGGTTGCCTGAGCATAATGCACAAATCATGCATGCAAGGAGTGCTCAGAGACTATGAATGAATAATCCATTTCATCTATGAAAAGTTCAGGAATTAAAATATCTTTAATTAAACATATTGTTAACAATTGATTGACATGGAACAGCTTGCAAGATGAGCTTAAACTTTGACATCTTTACCATAATATATTTGCTTTTAATGAGACATCTTTTTATATGCATAGTAAAGAAGTTTTACTTTGAATGATTCTGAAGTTTAAAAAAATTAGATCTAATTATCCATACCTTACTCCTGTAGTAATATTGCTTGCTTTAATGTCTAAGTTTGCTTTATCAAAGCACATAGTTATGCACATGGAGTCAAACTCTCCCTATTCCATCAGACCTACACGTACAGCTACAACGATTGAAGAAGTTTCCACTTGCAAATCGCTACGAGTTAGCCGACGGCAGAGGCCTGATTATGTGGCCACATCTAGAGGGCTGCATGGTAATTTGTGTGGAGCACTACTTGTCTCTTTCAATAGTGCTGCCATCTCAACATAAAAAGAAGAGCTCTTCTCTTCACCATGTTCTCGCAATTTCTGTAACTGCTTTTCCCTTCTAAAATTTGATTCTAGCGCACTTTCGTGAGATGGAATTACGGAGGGCTGAGGTTGCACTTTTGAGAAGATTACAAAGGTTACTTGTCATCAGGGAGTAGAGAAAAGACAGACATTAATTCTCAAATGTGCCTTCATGTACTGTATGCCCATGTAATGCCACAATAGAAAGACTTAAACTAATCACATCCCAATGGAAGTGCAAATCACACAGTATCAGATATCGTGTGAAATACCATTACTCTCCGCAACTGTGAATGGTTATTAACTTCTATCGGTCCTATTACTTTTATACCATTACTTACACATGTAGCTCTTTCAGATATTCCATTCCTGCATAAAATCTTAATTCCATGCCAATTTTAGAATCTAGAAGTAATATGAGTTTTTGTTCTGAACTAATAGTTTGTACATGCTGTAAACTAACAGAAAATTCAATTTCCTTTCTCAAGTTCAAGTTCATATTTATACAAATGACGCCTGCTGTAGCCATATTCAAGGTGCATCTCATCTTTGGAATAATATAGTGCTGCCTGCGCATTTTCATACAATGTCATACATTTGATTAGATGACGTGAGGTCTGGCCATGATTCATGTTCATTCCTATTAATCTACTGTTGATGTAGACTCATTCTACAGTTGGTTTGGATAGTCGGCAAAGTATGACTCACATGTATACCAGTATACTTAATAACGTGCAGAT